GCTCCGGTCACCAGCCCTCCCTCCGGCCGGCTTGGTCACCAGCCCCTCCCTCCGGCTGGCGGTCACCAGCGCCCTCCCCCGGCCGGCTCTGGTCACCAGCCCCTCCCTCCGGCTGGCTCCGGTCACCAGCGCCCTCCCTCCGGCCGGCTCTGGTCACCAGCCCCCTCCCTCCGGCTGGCTCCAGCTCACCAGGCGCCCTCCCTCCGGCCGGCTCTGAGTTCACCAGCCCCCTCCCTCCGGCTGGCTCCGTCACCAGCGCCCTCCCTCCGGCCGGCTCTGGTCACCAGCCCCCTCCCTCCGGCTGGCTCCGGTCACCAGCCCCCTCCCTCCGGCTGGGCCTCCGGTCACCAGCGCCCCTCCCTCCGGCCCCCCGGCTTCTGCGTCACCAGCCCCCTCCCTCCGGCTGGCTCCGGTCACCAGCCCCCTCCCTCCGGCTGGCTCCGGTCACCAGCCCCCTCCCTCCGGCTGGCTCGGTCACCAGCCCCTTCCCTCCGGCCGGCTCCGGTCACCAAGCGCCCTCCCCTCCGGCCGGCTCTGTCACCAGCCCCCTCCCTCCGGCTGGCTCCGGTCACCAGCGCCCTCCCTCCGGCCGGCTCTGGTCACCAGCCCCCCTCCCTCCGGCTGCCTCCGGTCACCAGCCCCTTCCCTCCGGCCGGCTCCGGTCCACCACGCCCTCCCTCCGGCCGGCTCTGGTCACCAGCCCCCTCCCTCCGGCTGGCTCCGGTCACCAGCCCCTTCCCTCCGGCTGGCTCCGGTCACCAGCCCCCTCCCTCCGGCTGGCTCCGGTCACCAGCGCCCTCCCTCCGGCCGGCTCTGGTCACCAGCCCCCTCCCTCCGGCTGGCTCCGGTCACCAGCCCCCTCCCTCCGGCTGGCTCCGGTCACCAGCCCCCTCCCTCGGGCTGGCTCCGGTCACCAGCCCCTTCCCTCCGGCCGGCTCCGGTCACCAGCGCCCTCCCTCCGGCCGGCTCTGGTCACCAGCCCCCTCCCTCCGGCTGGCTCCGGTCACCAGCGCCCTCCCTCCGGCCGGCTCTGGTCACCAGCCCCCTCCCTCCGGCTGGCTCCGGTCACCAGCCCCTTCCCTCCGGCCGGCTCCGGTCACCAGCGCCCTCCCTCCGGCCGGCTCTGGTCACCAGCCCCCTCCCTCCGGCTGGCTCCGGTCACCAGCCCCTTCCCTCCGGCCGGCTCCGGTCACCAGCCCCCTCTCTCGGGCCAGCTCCGGTCACCAGCCCCCTCTCTCGGGCCAGCTCCGGTCACCAGCCCCCTCTCTCGGGCCAGCTCCAGTCACCAGCCCCCTCTCTCGGGCCAGCTCCGGTCACCAGCCCCCTCTCATGGGCCAGCTCCAGTCACTAGCCCCCTCTCTCGGGCCAGCTCCGGTCACCAGCCCCCACTCATGGGCCAGCTCCGGTCACCAGCCCCTCTCGGGCCAGCTCCGGTCACCAGCCCCCTCTCTGGTCAGCTCCGGTCGCCAGCCCCCTCTTGGGCCTCACCAGCCCCCTCTCTCGGGCCAGCTCCGGTCACCAGCCCCCACTCATGGGCCAGCTCGGGTCACCAGCCCCCTCTCGGGCCAGCTCCGGTCACTGGCCCCCTCTCGGGCCAGCTCGGGTCACCAGCCCCCTCTCGGGCCAGCTCCGGTCACCAACCCCCTCTCTCGGGCCAGCTCCGGTCGCCAGCCCCCGCCCTCTAGCCGGCTCCGGTCACCAGCTGTCTCCCTCCGTCCGACAGTGGCGGCGAGTCCAAGGCGCAGTTCTGGCGGATGGTGACGCTGTCGACGGACGGCCTGCCGCGCGACAAGCCGCGCTACCTGATGGGCGTCGGCGTTGCCACCGACCTGGTGGTCTGCTGCGCGCTCGGCTGCGACATGTTCGACTGCGTGTACCCCACCCGGACAGCGGTCAGTGGGCGCTCGCGGCCGCGCCGTGGGGCGGGGCGGGGCTTGGAGTGAACCGTGTTTTCGTGTGCGGGCACGCAGAGATTGATGACTCCATGGCAGAGGCAGTGAAAGTGGAAGAATTTCTAGCTTGCTGTAAAATGGGGTGTGGTGAGACAGGTGGGTGAAGTGAGACACAAAACGTATACCTTTTTCGAAGCAAGGCTATTGGTTTGTTACTCGGTTCAAATGTGTTATCAACAATTCAAATGTGAATGTGTATTTAACGTTTTGTATGTAAATGAAAGAAACTGAATCTTGAAAAATGCAACAATGAAAGGCGCGTGGAACTTCTCTCTGTACGGCAGGATAGTATGTATGTAATTTGGTATGTACGAGCTGCCGCCAGAGACATCAGAAGTCCGGAGAGGCTTCTCCTGACCTTCTCCTCCTCCAGAAAAAGATCGTGAAAATAAGTGATCAACCCAGACCGCCATGGCGCTACCTAGACTGTTCCCTTCAACATTTTAGCTGTGCGGCATTACTAATGAAAGGAAGGGGTGTTTCGTTCCAAGATGCTCATGTGAAGAGACTGCCTGAAATCGTTCACATTGCAGCGATATGATATTTCAATAAATGCTGTTGTTTTCAATGCTGCTTGCGAAAGCCGCGTTTTGTTCCATTTTGCTTCGATTCCGCTGATGGTCCGCTAAAAGCTATTGCAGAGTTCTTGATGGAACAAGTTCCAAACGCTGCTGTGGCTTTTAGTTTTCACCGCGATATCTGCGTCCCTGCCCTAGACGTATTTGGAGTAATCCCAACACGGAATTGTGGTGTTTGAACCACCTTAAAGTCCACCTGGCAGGGTGACGCAATGCAGCACCTACGTTATATTGAAGCTCTCCGGACTTCTCAGAGACCAAGCTATTATGCGCATTTAGCGCCCACTTGACTTTTTGCGGAAACGTTGAATCAAACTGATGAGCCGTGCAGAAATGTTGGGGTTTTGAATGAAAACTGCACTTATTCTCATTTTATGGTAGTTCACTCCACGACAGACCACACAGCTTGGGAGAACTTCCGATGTGACCGAAGCCATCGTGGGATCTCGATTTAGAAGCGTTTTTCGAGGCACCAGGCCGATTACCTCGGACAGAGAGGGTGAGCCGGCACCCGTTTGTTGCATCGGAGCTCCTCACGTGATGATGCCAGGTGTGTGTGTCTGCGTCCTGGCTCTGGAGCCCGGGGTCGCCCACCAGTCCCTGGCCCGCCGACTGGCCCGGGGTCACCCACCAGTCCCTGGTCCGGCGCCCGGCTCAGGGTCACCCACCAGTCCCTGACCCGCCGACTGGCCCGGGGTCACCCACCAGTCCCTGGCCCGCCGACTGGCCCGGGGTCACCCACCAGCCCCTGGTCCGGCGCCCGGCTCAGGGTCACCCACCAGTCCCTGACCCGCCGACTGGCCCGGGGTCACCCACCAGTCCCTGGTCCGGCGCCCGGCTCAGGGTCACCCACCAGTCCCTGACCCGCCGGCTGGCCTTCTGCAGCGGTTCGGCTGCGCGCTATACAAGGGCGACCAGATCAACCTGAAGCAGCGGGTGTACGAACGTGACTTCCGCCCAGTGGATGAGCACTGTCCGTGCAGCACGTGCGCCCGCTTCACGCGGGCTTACCTGCACTCGGTGGTGACGGTGGAGACGGCTGCCTGTCACCTGCTCACCGTGCATAACGTCACCTACCAGGTACCGGGCCCCAGTGGATCTAATCTGGTACCGGGCCTCAGTGGATCTAATGTGGTACCGGGCCTCAGTGGATCTAATGTGGTACCGGGCCTCAGTGGATCTAATGTGGTACCGGGCCTCAGTGGATCTAATGTGGTACCGGGCCTCAGTGGATCTAATGTGGTACCGGGCCTCAGTGGATCTAATGCGATAACCTGATGCGACTTACCGCATGCTACAGGGTGTTTGCCACAGGGTGTTTCCATTACGAGCTGTTGCGTAAATAAACACTCATTTTGCTGTTTTTGTGACTGATGCTTCGCTATAGCTACTACTATGTCTAACATGACGCATTTGCGACCCATGAGGGCATGATTATGTGTGGCCAGTATATTCAGTTGTAATCTCGTGTAACAAGCCTTCATTGAGGCCAGGCGTGAGTGGTCAGGTGGAGTACGGAGCTGGTGTCAAGAGTGCGATGTGCAGAAAGCGCAGGACGGTGGCTTTTCCACTGGATGTCAGCATGACTTGTGCGAAGAGCGCTGGCGGATCTTAGCATTTCGATTCAGTTCAATATTGTAGATTGTCGAGAGGATTCGTTTGAAAATTTGCGCATGCATGCCGTCCCCATCAACGCAAATGATTTGTAGCAGCACAGAGATCGGCCACCTGGCAAAAAGGACACCATATGAATCAGGAGGCGCTCCATCGTGTGTGCATGTTGCATATTGTTGGTGGACCGATCCCTGTCCGTAGTTTTTTGTGATACACTTCTGGGGTGGGCGCCACTCACAAAGGGAAGCCAACTTTTACCTCCCGGCACGGTGGAGCATGCTTTACGAATCCATTTCTAGTCAGTTGTGTAACAGTGGCAACCGTTGCAGCTCCGGCTAATGAAAGCATTACGGGAAAGCATCAAAGAAGACAGGTTTCCTCAGTTCGTGCACGACTTCATGAAGGAGACGTACAAGGACGGGCTGTACCCGGAGTGGGCGGTCGAGGCCCTGGCATCTGTCAACATCCAATTATGACGTGATCATCGTGGCGTGGGCGGTCGAGGCCCTGGCATCTGTCAACATCCAATTATGACGTGATCATCGTGGCGTGGGCGGTCGAGGCCCTGGCATCTGTCAACATCCAATTATGACGTGATCATCGTGGCGTGGCACAAGCTGTGACTGTGATCTCGCTATTACATGGGACCAAAGACGTGACGCGTTTGCAAGAAATGAAAGTACGTCGTTCGCGCGCCATGTCGCGACATCTCGCGCCATGCACAACCATCGAACTACTTCATTGCGCCATATTTTTGTTCATTGGTGTTTTCGGGCGCGTCGACCGCAATGGTCATTTTGCGCCCATCACTGCGCCATCCACAGCCATCGACGTACTCCACCATCCGAACAAAAGCCACCGGCATCCGTTTGTGTATTCGCCGTGTCGTGATCCCCGTCGCGCAGCGCACAACGCCACCCAGGCCACTTGAGCGCCACTGCTCCGCCCGCTGTCTGGCCGGCGCGCCGCTCTCAGTCGCCGCCGATCGCCTGCTCTGCCACCGCCATCCGCTCGTCCTCGTCGCTCTCGAGCTCGTGGCGAGGCTCGAGCCGCCGCTCGGCAGCCACCGCCTCCTCGGCCTCCATCTCGTCGTCGTGCTCGTGCTGGACGGTGACGAGCGCCCGGCGCAGGCCCGCCGCCGGCGAGCGGATCAGCGCCAGGTCGCGCTGCACCTCTCGCCGCTCCTTGGCCCGCTCCATCGCCTCGCCCACCTTCTGCCGGTTGCGGATGTGCTGGTACTCGCGCCGCTGCCGGATCTCCTGCACGCGCTTCATCGCCTCCACTGCGGCACATGGGCAGAGGGACGTCACCGTCGGACGGCGCGAGCGCAGAGTGGATGTCCGCGACACGTGCTACTTTGAACGCTATGTGACGATTTGGAGGCCGCGTTACGAGATGGTCGCGCCTCTCCTGTCACTGTGAGCTGTCTGCTTTACGTGATCTGGGACACCGGACGGCTTTGCCAAGTGCATTGATATACGATGATTATATGATCAGTAGTTAGCTGGCATCAACACTCATTGGAAGTACGAAGACGTGGAAAATCAGTGTGACAGAAGAGACATGCAACCCTATGGCTCTACGGTTTAGTCTAGTATAGTCTACACCAAGACCTGGCTTCACATGCTTTCCTGATAAACTCAGTTAACTTTCAAATACGGAGCGGCGGCTGTACTCCGGATATACCATGCAATTTAAGTAGTTCGTGCAGCAAAAGGTTAGGCGGGTAGGACATTACCTGTTTTTGTCCACAGTTCTCTGTCATACTTGGTGGGTGCATTTCTCCTCTTCTCAAATTCAAATGAAGGATCTACTGCTAAGTCTTTCCCCCTGGACTTTCTGTATGCCTTTGTCCATGCAACCTTCCTCGGGTTCTTCTTTTTCTTAAAAGCTTTGTTACACTTTGACCTACAAAATTTGAATACCTAGAAAGAAAGCATACGTGGTTAAAATGGCATGTGCATGCATCATCAGCGGGCCAAGCTTCGTTTTGCATTTGTGAGTACCACACACAGACACACGCACACACACGCCCATGCGCGCGCACGCTTTGCCCCGCAAGACTTTGTCTATGTTTTTTGTATCGGGGATCCTTAAGTACATCTTTCCCTGTTTGATGCGCACATCTCTCCGCATCGCATTTCGTTGCGCATGCGATTATATCACTGCATTTCTTTCTCACCTCAGTGAAACAGCCCCGTAACCATGCCTTCCTGCGACGACGGTAGCGCAGCGACGGCGACTGGAGGAGTCTGAGCCACTAAGGATACTATGGGCATTTCCCCACTTCGTGGACAAGACGCGTAGCTCGTCTCTGAGCCCGATCCAGCCGTTCCTAGTCCAATTTTCTGAACAGGCCCTAGATGACACTGCCATATTCCAAGTACGGGTGTACTCAGATCTTGAAGAGCAGTGGCAGCGTAGGAACATCGATTTTGGCAAGCGACCGCCTCGCGACCGCCATCCAGCACCTGGATGACCTTCCGGATCGCCTCCGCCGTCTGCACGTGAAACTTGAAACTATGGTCCACAAAGATCCCGAGGTCTTTCTCTGTGGGCTCGACCGCGACTTCGACGCCGTTCAAGAAGTAGGTCAGTCTGGGGCTGTGGTTCCCGATATGCATTACTGTGCACCTTGTCGCATTAAAGGGGAGCAGCCACTCCTCCCACCACTTCGCTGCCTGGAGGGTTTCGAGTGCTGTCGTGCTGGGGAAATGCTGGGAGGCATCAGCTGACATTGTGACGTCGCTGAAAATGGTTTTGCATCGATCGGGATCGGGTTCTCCTGGGCCGACTGAAGGCCGTAAGGTTTTTGCTAGTGATATGTCACTGGTACTCGGCTGGGTATGTGACGTCACTGGTCGTGAGTTTTTATGGCTCTTTTGGGTCCACTGAATGCCGTAAGGCAGCCGCTGGCGATGTGCCGTCACTGGTATTCGATTAAACATTAGGCGCGACCGGCGTCGTTCCATCTTTACTTTTCGTACCCGTCTGCTGCAAGCATTTGCGTGCCGCTTAAAGGTTTGACCGAATCACCTCAATGTGTGACATCACTAATCATCACTTCACACGAGTGCACTTAGGCCCCACGGCCACGCTGTGTTATGGTCCGCGAAGTATCACCGGATAGCGTGACGTCACTGGTATTCGAATAAATACTGGGCGCAACAGGCCGTGCTTCATTTTTACCTCTGAACCCGTCTACTGCAAGCATTGGCGTGCTGGATGAAAGCTGCCGAACCACCTGAGTGTGTGACGTCACTGGTCATGAGTTTCACCGGTGCTTTCGGGCCAACTGAAGGCCACAAGGTATCAGTTAACGACGTCACTGCTATACGACTGATTGTAAGACGTCAATGGTCGTGGGTTTCACGGGCCCTTTAGGACCGCCAAAATGCCGTAAGGCATCGGCTGGCGATATGACGTCACTGGTATTCGGCTGAACATCAGGCAACGGCCATGCTCCATCTATACATTTTGTACATGTCTACTGCAAGTATTGGCGGATTATTTTGGCGGCCAACTGAACACCATGCAGCATCAGCTAACGATGTGACGTCACTGGCATTCGACCGTGCGTGATGTCACTGGTCATGAGATTGGACGGCCTCTTTTGGGCCGGCGAAAGGTCAAGCGGCAATAACTGACGATGTGACGTCATTGGTATTCGAAAAAACTTCAGGCGCGACAGGCCATGTTCCACGTTTAACTTTGGTACCTGTCCATTGCAAGCATTGCCGTGCTGAAGGAAGGCTGTGCCGAATTACCTGAGTGTGTAACGTCACTGACCATTAATTTGCATACTCTTTTGAACCCACTATAGGCCACAAAACATCACCTGACGATATGATGTCACTAGGTTTCGACTGGACATCATGCGCAACAGGCCATGCTCTATCTTTACTTTTCGTGCCTGTGTGCTGCAAGCTTTCGAGTGCTACACCAAGACGATGCTGAATCAACTCAGTGTGTGACGTCACTGGTCATGAGTTTATACTGGTTCACTTGGGCCGCCCAAGACCACAAAGCATCATATCCCGTGGAGTATCATGGGAAGATATCACATCACTGGTATTCGGCTTAACATCACGCGCAACAGGTCATGTTCCATCTTTACCTTTGGTGCCTGTCTCTTGGAAGTATTGGCATGCTGAATGAAGGCTCTGTCGAATCTCCTGAGTGTGTAACGTCACTGGTCAAGAGCTTTTTACGGGATCTCTTGTACCCCCTATGCGGTATAATGCATCAGCTAGCGATATGACGTCACTGGCGTTCGACTTAACATCAGGCGCAACAGGTTCTTTGCTCCATCTTTGCCTTTCGTACCTGTAAAAGTATTCGCGATCTGAATGATGGCTCTGTCGAGTCACCTGAGTGTGCGACGTCTTGGGTTTTTACAGGTTATTTTTGGCTGAGTGAAAGTCATAAAGCATCAGCTAACGATATGTCGTCACTGGTGGGCCACTGAGTGTGTGAAGTCACTGGCCACGAGTTTTTACGGGCCTTTTTGGACCGACTTTACGCGATTAGTCATCAGAAAACAATATGACGTCAATGGTATTCAATTAAACATCAGATGTAATAAGCCATGTTTCGTCTGTACCTTTCGCACCTATCTACTGCGAGTATTCGCGCGACACATAGAGACTCTGTCGAATTACCTGAGCGTGTGGTGTAACTAGTTTACGCGGGTTTACTCGGGCTGACTGAAGGACATAAAGCATCAGCTGACGATATGACGTCACTGGTATTCGAATAAACTCCAGGCGCGACAGGCCATGTTCCATCTTTACCTTTCGTACCTGTTTATTGCCAGCATTGGCGTGCTGAAGGAGGGCTCTGGAATCTCCTGGGTGTGTAACGTCACCGGTCATGAGTTTTTTCTGGCTCTTTGGAACCCCCAATAGGGTATAAGACATCAGCTGACGATATGGCGCCACTGGTGTTTGACTTAACCTCAGGCGCGACAGGCCATGCTCCATCTTTACCTTTCGTACCTCGCTACTGCAAGCATTCGCGTGCTATATGAAGGCTTTGCCGATTCACCTGAGTATGTGACGTCACTGATTATGAGTTAGCAGGTCACTTGGCCACCCTGGGCTACAAGGCATGATGTCCCGGAAGCATCACCGGATAATATGACGTCACGGGCATAATACCAAATATGCAGCGCAACAGGCCATGATCTTTGCCTTTCGTACCTGTCTACCGCAGCATTCGCGTGCTATATTAAGGCGATGCCGAATCATCTCAGTGTGTGATGTCACTGGTCATGAGTCTGTGCGGATTCTCTTGGGTCGCCCAGTGCCACAAAACATCATATCCCGTGAAGCATCACGGGATGATATGACGTCACTGGTATTCGACTTCACATCAACCGCAACAGGCCATGTTCCATCTTTACCTTTCGTAACTGTCTTTTACAAGTATTGGCGTGCTGAATGAAGGCTCTGTCGAGTCTCCTGAGTGTGTAACGTCACTGGTCAAGAGTTTTTACGGGCTCATTTCAAGCCCCTTTATGGCATAATGCATCAGCTGACGATATGACGTCACTGGTGTCCGAATTAACATCAAGCGCAACAGGCCATGTTCTAGCTTTACCCTTCGTACTGGTCTATTACAAGTATTGACGTGCTGATTGAAGGCTCTGTCGAGTCCCCTGAGTGTGGGTGAATACTCAGGTGAATCGGCACAGCGTTCATATAGCACGTGAATGCTTCCAGTAGCCAGGTACAAAAAGTAAAGATGGAACATGGCCTGTTGCGCATGAGGTTAAGTCAAATACCTGTGACGTCATATCGTCCACTGATGTCTTTTTCACTATGGGAGGTTCAAAACAGCCCGTAAAAACTCATGACCAGCGACGCTACACACTCAAGAGACTTCACAGGGTCTTCCTTCAGCACGCCAATGCTTACAATAGACAGGTACGAAAGGTAAAGACGAACATGGCCTGCCGCGCCCGGTGTTAAGTTGAATACCAGTGACGTCACATCGTCAGATGATGCTTGATGTCCTTCAACCAGCCCGATTAAACCCGTGTAAACTCATGACCAGTTGCACCACACGCTCAGGTGATTGGGCAGAGCCTTTATGTGGCGCGCGAATACTTGCAGTAGGTAGGTGCGAAAGGTAAAGGTGGCACATGACTTGTTGCACCTGACGCTTAATTGAATACCAGTGGCGTCAAATCGCTATATGATGTCTAATGGCCTTAGGTCGGCCCAAAAAGGCCCGTACAAACTCGTGACCAGTGACGCCACACATTCAGTGGATTACCAGTGGATACCGTTAGCTGATGCCTTTTGGCTTTCACTCAGCCAAAAATAGCCTGTAAAAACCCTTGACCACACACTCAGGTGATTCGGCAGAGCCATCATTCAGCTCATCAATTGTTTAACAGGCGCGAAAGGCAACGATGGAACATGACCTGTTGCGCCTAGTGTTAAGTCGAATACCAGTGACGTCATATCGTCAGCTGATGCATTATACCATATAGCGGGTTGAAAAAGCCCATAACAGCTCTTAACCAGTGACGTTACACACAGGAGATTCGACAGTCTTCATTCAGCACGCCAATGCTTGTAAAAGACAGGTACGAAAGGTAAAGATGCTACATGGAACATTGCGCTTGATGTTGAGTGGAATACCAGTGACGTCATATCATCCCGCGATGCATCACGGGATATGTTTTATCGCATTAGGCGGCCCAAGTGCACCCGTATAAACTCATGACCGGCGGCGTCGCACACTCAGGTGGTTCAGCATCGCCTTGATATAGCACGCGAATGCTTGCAGTAGACAGGTACGAAAGGTGAAGATAGAACATGGCCTGTTACGCGTGGTGTCTAGTTGAAAACCAGTGACGTCACATGGTCAGCTGATGTAGTATGGCCTATAGTGGGTTCAGAACAGTCTATAAAAATTCATGGTCAGTGACGTTACACACTGAGGTAATTCGGCAGAGCCTTCGTTCAGCCTGCCAATCCTTGCAATGGACAGGTACCAAAGATAAAGGTAGAGCATGGCCTGTCGCGCCTGAAGTTTATTCGAACACTAATGACGTCACATCGCCAGTCAATGCCGTATGAATTTTCGTCGGCCAAAAAGAGGCCGTCCAATCTCATGACCAGTGACATCATATATAGTCGAATGCCAGTGACGTCACATCGTTAGCTTATGCTTTATGGCCTTCAGGTGGCCCCCAAAATCCATAAAAACTCATGACCAGTGACGTCACACATACATCGGTCATTCGGCAGAGCCTCTCTTCAGCACGCCAATACTTGCAGCAGACATGTACGAAAGGTATAGATGAAACATGGCCTGCTGCCTGATGTTCAGCCAAACATCCCTGACGTCATATCGTCAGCTGATGCCTTGCGGCATTCGGCCGGTCCAAAAGAGCCCGTGAGAACCCATGACCATTGACGTCACACAATCAGTCGTATAGCAGTGACGTCCTTAGCTGGTACCATGTGGTCTTCAATGGGCCCAAAAACACCAGTGAAACTCATGACCAGTGACGTCACACATTCAGGCGATTTGGTAGCTTTCATTCAGCACGCCAATGCTTGCAGTAGACATGTGCGAAGGTAAAAATGAGGCATGGCCTGCTGCGACCAATATTTAGTCGAATATCAGTGACGTCACGCTATCCGATGATACTTCACGGAGCATGATACACCGTGGCCACTGGGCCTAAGTGCACTCGTATCAAGTGATAATTAGTGACATCACACATCCAGGTGATTCGGTCAAACCTTTATCCGGCACAAAAATGCTTGCAACAGACAGGTACGAAAGGTAAAGATGGAATGAGGCCTGTTGCGCCTGATGCTTAACTGAATACCAGTGACGGCATATCGTCAGGTGGTGCCCTACGGCATTCATTTGACCCGAAAGGACCCTAAAACCTCACGACCAGTGACGTCACATACCCAGTGGAATACCAGTCACATCATATCACCAGCAAATGCCTTATGACCTTCAGTTGGCCCAAAAGAACCCCGATCGATGCAAAACCATTTTCAGTGACGTCACAATGTCAGCTGATGCCTCACAGCATTTCCCCAGTACGGCAGAACACGAACCCTGCAGCCAGCGTAGCTCTTCCCTCCGCCGTCCGTACAAGTACCAAAGTAAAAAAAGCTGAAATCGCGCCGGGGTCGTGGTTGCTGCGTGTTTGCACTCGGATGTTGTCTATCGTAGCTATTTAAGTTCCAAGAGCTTAGATGACCTGCTTTATGATTAATTATGATATGCTCTGCCTTAAAAATGATGGCTGATGTACAATACTCTTTCTTAACATGAGGTAGCAATGTATACCCTGACTTGCATTATTATTGTTACCTTTGCCCCATACATTTTTTATTGTTCTTGATGTGCAGCAATGTTGTGGCCAAACACCAGCATGCGGCACTCAGGAGCTCACAATCATAATTTTAAAATTTGAGGGTAGCAGCATGAATCTACCTATTTATGATTACTTATCATATGTTCCACCTTAAACACAATGAATGATGTACAGTGCTCTTTTTTAAAATTAAGTAGCAATGTGCAACCACCCACAGCTGCCATGTGTCACACAAATGGGGTCAGGGTGTACTTTCCTACCTAACGTTAGAAAAAATCATTGTACACCATTCGTCGTGTTTAAGGCATGACATATCGTAAATAATCTCAAAACAGGTAGAATCATGCTCCTACCTTCGAATTTCAATAACTTCGATGGCGGGCCCCCGAGCGCCGCGCGCATCGCACCGCCTGGACTCCCCAGCGCCGTTTCCGCGTTGCCGTTGCGTAAATACAATATTTCTGCGCACCAAGAACTGTACAAAATGTACGGAACCAAAGTAAACCATTCGTCATGTTTAAGCCAGGACAACCATAACCTAACTGCGAACCATAAAAATATTTACTAAACATAAACCATATTTACCATAACCATATTTACCATATAAACCATATTAACTGCGAACCATGCTATAAACCATAACTATAACTATAAACTATACTATATAAACCATACTATAACCATAAACCATATTTACTGTGAACCATAAAAATGTACCGGGACAAGGTAGCAAGAATCCATGAAATTTGATCCTTGACGCCAAGGGGACCATGGGTTGCAGGGGGATTGGGTGGAGAATGTAAAGCAAAATGAGAACATGGCAGCTAAATAAAAGCTCACTATATGGCACCTATATATGGCATGGAACATGGATGCCAATGAGATGCTGGGTTGAAGGGGATATAGGGTGGGGAGGTTAGGTTAGGTTAGGTTAGGTTAGGTTAGGTTAGGTTAAGTTAGGTTAGATTAGGTTAGGTTAGGTTAGGTTAGGTTAGGTTAGGTCAGGTCAGGTCAGGTCAGGTCAGGTCAGGTCAGGTCAGGTCAGGCTAGCTTAGCTTGGCTTAGCTTAGGTTCTGGTCTATTCTCAGTTAGGTTAGGTTAGGTTAGGTTAGGTTAGGTTAGGTTAGGATATGTTCTGGACTATTCTGGCCTGCGTGTTTCATAAATGTACCTAAACTCGATAAGAAACGATTTTGGTTGCTTTATCATTGTTACCTTGGTCCCGTACATGTTTTATGGTTCTTGATAAGCAGAAATATTGTGCTTTCGCAACAATGTAGAAACGGCGCTTGGAAGTCGAGGCAGTGCGGTGCGGGGCGTGCGGCGCTCGGGAGCTCGCTATCGTATTTATTAAAATTCAAAATTCGAGGGTAGGAGCATGATTCTATCTGTTTTGAAATTATTTACGATATGTTCCGCCTTAAACACGATGAATGGTTTGCCTTGGTCCCGTACATTTTGTAGAGTTCTTGGAAAGCAGAAATATTGTATTTCCGCAACGGCAACGCAGAAACGGCGCTGCGGAGTCCAGGCGGTGCGGTGCGCGCGGCGCTCGGGAGCTCGCCATCGAAGTTATTGAAATTCGAAGGAAGGAGCATGATTCTACCTGTTTTGAGATGATTTATGATATGTGCCGCCTTGAACACGACGAATGGTGTGCAATGATTTTTTCTAAAGTTAGGTAGGAAAGTACACCTACACCCACAAATGGTGCAGTCAGGGGTGCGGGGTACCAGGGCACACACTCAAACTAAGACACACAGAAGCCCAGTTAGAACATGTGATTAATTCATATCCTGTCACCAAATTCCTATCCACACAACATAGCACCAGCTACCCACTAAAAATTGGGGACATGCCACCTTGCAGTGCAATTCTGTCCATGACCTTCAAGCCTCAGCCACACACGATATTTATAGAGCTAGACACTTACTTTGGAATCATTACGAACAAACGTTACACCATGTCCAGGATATACCGTCGAAGAACAGAAATAACACTTTTCTAAACGCATTTTTGCCTTGTCTAGGGCGGCGCTGTTGATAAGCCACCAGCAGGCACAACACGCAAATGATAAGGAGGGATCTCAGCAAGTGACGCTCAACACGCGGCTCCTGCGTCCACGAGTGTTGACGGTTGTTTGGCACATGTGAGCTATAAATGTATTTGGTACCAGTTTAACAACTAGTAAACGATTTTGATCAAAAATATTGATTAGCATGATGTTTTTACAAGGCACGAAATATATATTTATTACTCAATCAAGTTCTACATTTATGTTTACAGGGGTGGGCTGCTAAATTTCGTTTGATAAAAGCAAAACAAACTTCACATCACTTTATCAGCTATTACGGCTGGATTAAAGTTTACAGTTTCTGCGCAGCTAAGACGCTAGACAGGGATCGCCGAAGATTGTTCACGGCAATTTCCTACGGTTGTGCCCCGGTGGAGGTATGAATATGTATAGATCCCTGAATGATATTTATTAGTCATACGTATTGGTGCATAGTAAATGAAAATAAATGGCTTCCACCAGTTCTCTGGTTCGTAGGAGCATTCCCAAGGGCTATGGTTACAACATCAAAGGCTGCTTTTAACTGTGTTAAGGTTCCTACTAGTTTCTGAGCTGCTTCCTTCTAAGGTTGATAATAAGGCTGTTAAGGCTATTAAAGTAAGGATATGGTTGAAGCCATATCTTAACTGTTATGCTATTATGCATGTGCGTGCTTTTTGTCCTTCCTATTTTGGTGTTACGCATTGCACAACGGGGGCTAAGCCCTAGACTGCAGAAAAACAATGTTATGCCAATTGTAGAACACTACTGCCACAACTGTGACTCACAGGCAAAAATTTCAGCACATTTACACTGTATGTCTGGGTGCTCAGAGTTTGATTCCCAGTTACCACCAAATTTAAGGCACAGAAAGCTAATGTTTTAAAGAGCCATATCATATTAAGTAGCTGTGTTGTGGAGGCACATGGCACAGTGCATGTTTTGTTTTTTTTTTGCTGGTGCAAGCTCTTTTTGAAGCTATTTCTGAATGTATATCAACCTATATTAACCTACCAAAAGATGCATGAAAGCCAGCAGTAATGCCATGGCAGCACAGAATACATCACCTCATCAGAAGAAGTTAAAAGATATTTACATGTGTATGTCATTGCATGATAATGGTGAGTATTTTTCTTGAAATACCTTAATAATTTTGGATATATTTGAAGCTGTATTAGTACTTTGAACATTTTTTGGCTTGATCTGGACAGTAATATTAAATAAATCAGCATTCTCCACCACAGTCTAATGCACGCTGAATTAAACCTAATTGTTAAGTGCAATTTGAGTTGAATAAAATAATGCATTTTTATTTTCTTGGTGCATGTGATAATTTTTTTTGCAAATAGCATCCCTGTTGGAAAATAGACAGAACTATCACAAATTTTGTAAGAATGTAAAATTCTTTCTTATTGACATTTAGTCATGGGCTGCTTGGATTATGGCTGAAACACTGGTGATAAGTGTGTTATCAAAAAAGCATCATGACAGGAGTGACCATCCAGGACAAAAACATGATATCTGAGGGAACAGCAATATGTTATTAGTTTGCTGAACAGATTCATCATTGAAGTAATAGTAAGCAGCATGAAGGGATATATGGATCAAATGTTCAGACTAGTATATTTGGTGACTGGTGTCTCCCTTTAATAAATGTTAACCGTGCTGTGCTGTGTTTGAAATAGTATTGATTTCTTTTGCATGCAGTTGGTTTAAAAACAAATTTTCATCACCATTTGCTGCAGCTACACTCAATGGGTGCATTATGTAGGTCTGCATATGTATATGGAATAGGGTCAGTGACAGGATTTTACTAAAGTAGTAGCAGGAAAGGTGCATAGGAGGCACAGTATGTGTGTGTCATTAGGGCTTTACGACGCACTCAGCTGCTGAGGCTATATGGCGTCGCCTGCCTCTCACCCTGGCAGGAAGGGCGGGCATAGCGGGGAATTGAACCCTGTACCTCTGGTTTCCCAGACGAGCAGTAGCCAACACAGATGCGCTAACCACTACACTACCGGCATCCCGGAGGCACAGTATTATGGCTCCCCTGTGAAATTTGTTGCCCTGCCCCCCCCCCCCACACACACACACCATAAGAGATTGGTATTTTTATGAGCTAATTTCAGAAGCTGCTGAGGCTATATGGCGTCACCTGCCTCTCACCCTGGCAGGAAGGGCGGGCATAGCAGGGATTTGAACCCTGTACCTCTGGTTTCCCAGACGAGCAGTAGCCAACGCAGATGCGCTAACCACTACACTACCGGCACCCCGGAGGCACAGTATTATGGCTTCCCTGTGAAATTTGTTGCCCTGCCCCCCCCCCCCCACACACACACCATAAGAGATTGGTATTTTTATGAGCTAATTTCACAAGCTTTCTGTTTAATTCAGTGGAGCTCTATGGATGGTGGGATGTTCAAAATTTGGTGCATCTTGAAGCAATAATGTGTTATTGTTTGTGGAGGCTACCATAAGTTTGGTACCCCTTGAAAATAAAGTTTAAAGGGCCTGAATTGGAGGTTTTGATGTCCCTTTATTGAGGCAGCTTATCCAGGGATGAAATCTAGGGATGTAATCCACGAATTTCATCCAGGGATACAATGCCTATAGTTTTGTAGTGGATATGTGGAGCCCATGATATTTGATATCAGGTTTTTGGTCAGTGTAAAGTGGCAGTAAAATCCTAGGATGTAGAGAATTGCTCCATCATCCTCATACAGATACAAAGTGTATGCAACACTGAGTGTCATACATAATTGAATAATCCTGGATAGATGAAGGGTGAAGGTTAGAGAAAATGGCATGTGTTATGTTATAATGTAGCCTTTTTCTCATACAGTCAACACCTTCCATCACATGGATTGCAATTTTCAAGCTGATGTTGGCAGACGGACAAGTATTGTGCTGGTCGTGTTTGATTATGCAAGCCATGGCCATGAACTCACTTGCCATAACTGGTATATGTGATACGACATAGTGATGTGCATTGAATGAAGCCTTGTTTCTTCATTGTTTAAGAATCTGATGTCCTGATGATGTTACCCAATTGTGGTGACATGTTCATTTATTGATATGTAAATGATGGTGGTTGCTGTCCTGGCCATTAAGTTTCTACTCCTACTGATATATACATGCATCCACTAATACATGTGTGAATGTGCACATGCACAACACATGCACAAACACATGCTGTGTTAAATGTGATACTTCATTGCAGTCTGCACTAGATACCCCAAAAGCTGTTGTAGTTTAGCCCATCTGATTTTCTGCATTACCAGGCTGGGAGCCTGTACATCCATCATGTTCACCATCAGAGCAAAGTCAAAGAATGGCGAAGATCCTGTCACTTTGATTCGACCATCGGAGCTGCCGATCTACGAGGACCAGGAACCTGCAGACGAGTACGCACTTTTTGTTTTGTCATGAAAGTCTTGCGCTGATAAATTAAGTCCCAATGATGTTCTTTGTGGCTAAGCATGTGCATCTATTGAGATTCATGAATATTCCTATTACAGGGTGTCTGAACAAGGATTGCAATGTATCATCAAGAACAACTTGGAACGTGCCACGCAACACAAATTTGTGTTGCATGACCATTTTATTAACGAGCTGACAAAGCTATGTTAGAACGTATTTGTCCTGCTAAGGGAAAATAAAGCATTATAGCTACGATATCTTGTCCAGCTTCATTAAGCACATACTAAACCAATACTTGTTTTGCATTTAATGTTTGTTGGGACTTCATGCCATTGATGGTGTTCACGGAAACAAGCTGCAGTTGTGATGGTGACCAAGCGCCGCGCAGCCGCCGTCCTCACCGGCGCTCGCCCGCGGCCGTGCCGCCAGATATGAGTACCACCAGCGTCCCACCGGACTCCTGGAGCAGTCGGTGGGCGATCTGCGGCGAGCCCTGTCCGGCTTCGTCTCGCAGTATTCCGACACGTACGACTACGCGAAACACGTCTACGAAACGGGGAAGGCCCACAGCGCAGGTATCCTTCCAGCCATTGTCCCCTGCCAGTTTTGAATGTTTCTTCTATGTGTGTATTGCTGTGGCATGTAAGTTTGTGAGACTTTCCTATCTTGTCGAAATTTTACTTCTTTTAGGTTTATGGCCGTTGGTGACTCTCGGAAGGGTGCCTCAGTCGCGCCATGTGTTGTATGCTTATTTTCAAAATCCGCTTTGGAGTTTTGCCGTTGTAAAGTAAGGTAATCACCAATCGGCGCACACCAGTTTATATTTACGCCTGGAACGATCCTGTCTTTTATTCAAACCGATACAATGATGCTCTTCTTCGTATGCAGTAAAAGCCACCGATCAGGATAACGAGATGAAATTTAAGACAGCACCTCGTCATGTCGTTCTGCTTTTGCTCACTGTCACGTGGCCAGATACAGTCCGCAGCCGCTGCGGTTTGATCCATTTCCAAAGATTGCCATAAGTTGGGGTCATGACGCAGTCTTGAACGATTACGATTAAATGACGTCCTAGAAATGCCTTTGCTGTTCATGGGAATCCTACACGCATCGCCACACCGACGTCCGTTATTGTATTTTTCCTCAACCTTTTTTTTCTCGGGTACATGGAAGACCCATATTTTTCTATCTTGTCTTTCATTTCATATTATTTTCACTGAACTGAAAATGGAGATTTCGCGTCATGGTTGTTTTATCTGGCTTTTCACAATTAAAAGGAGCAAAAGTATACGAAATAATATGAAACGGCAAATTTTCCGATTGATTGCAACAACGCAGCTCCATTCAGCTGTTTAAACTCTTGCACTATCACATGTAGACAGCCGCAGCGCCGAGTTTTTAAGAGTGGCTGCCAACCGTCACAGAATAGATGACATTGATCTCGTACGGCGTGTTCGGAATGTTGGCGTGCCGACCCCGTCCCTCCCCACCAGCTGAGTGTGTGGTCGCCTGCTGTCGCGCGCATCTGACTGCTCTTGTGCGCTGCCACGCGGCAGGCACGCTGGACTACCTGCAGGACGAGACGAACCTGGTGCCGCGCGCCACCGCCATCACCGTCGGCGGCCTCACCGGCCTGCTCGTGGCCGCCCTGCGCCGACGCGGCCTCTTCAAGCGGCTCATGTACACGGGCGTCGGGCTGGCCGGTCAGTGGCGCCGCCGCCCTCGGCGAATACAGGCCGGCCGCTGGAGCGGAGGCGAATGCAGGCTGGCCGCTTGGGCGGAGGCGAATACAGGCCGGCCGCTGGGGCGGAGGCGAATGCAGGCCGGCCGCTGGGGCGGAGGCAAATATTGGCCGGCCGCTGGGGCGGAGGCGAATGCAAGCTGGCCGCTGGGGCGGAGGCAAATACTGGCCGGCCGTTGGGGTGGAGGCGAATGCAGGCTGGCCGCTGGGGCGGAGGCGAATACTGGCCGGCCGCTGGGGCGGAGGCGAATGCAGGCCGGCCGCTGGGGCGGAAGCAAATACTGGCCGGCCGTTGGGGTGGAGGCGAATGCAGGCTGGCCGCTGGGGCGGAGGCGAATACTGGCCGGCCGCTGGGGCGGAGGCGAATGCAGGCCGGCCGCTGGGGCGGAAGCAAATACTGGCCGGCCGCTGGGACGGAGGCGAATGCAGGCTGGCCGCTGGGACGGAGGCGAATACTGGCCGGCCGTTGGGGCGGAGGCGAATGCAGGCTGGCCGCTGGGGCGGAGGCAAATACTGGCCGGCCGCTGGAACGGGGTATTCGGTTGGGGGACGGGTCGGTTCGGCGAGAATGTTGAGATGGCGTCACTGGTCAGTAGACAGAGCGGAGGTGTTCGGTTGAAGGGACGGGTCGGTTTGTAGAGAACGCTCAGATGGCGTGACTGGTCAGTAGACAGAGCGGAGGTGTTCGGTTAAAGGGACGGGTCGGTTTGGAGAGAACGCTCAGGTGGCGTGACTGGTCAGTAGACAGAGCAGAGGTGTTCGGTTGAAGGGACGGGTCGGTTTGGAGAGAACGCTCAGATGGCGTGACTGGTCAGTAGACAGAGCGGCGGTGTTCTGTTGGGGGGGGAACGAGTCTGTGAATGGAGGACGTCCATAAGGTGCTGTGACTGGTCGGTAGATAGAGCGGAAGCGTTCGTTTAGGGGACTGGTCGGTACGAGGAGGACGCTGGGGAGGCGCTGGGATTGGCCAGTGGATTCGAGCGTTATCGGTTTCGGTCGGCGATAGAGAGGAGGCTGTCGAGGGAGGGGGGGGGGGGGGCGGGGGGAAGGGGACGTCGGAAGGCTTTCTGTGCGGGAAGCCTCTGTAAATGGCGCCGGTTTGGAGCAGGCTCGTCTTGCATCGGGATTGCCCCGACTTTCGGTGTCAAGTTCTCTGCCCTGTCGTTCTTTTAAGGATAAACGCGGAAGTGAAGACGTGATGGTATTGAATTTGAATACAGCAGTGAAGCTTGTCCCGATTTTTTCCTAGGTTCATGCCAAATCAGACAGCGAACATGTCCTTTCAAACGTAGGTCAGATATTCTTCCGGAGAGTCCATTCCAGATCGGACAGAGAACACTACCTTCTTAATCGAAGGCTACAGTGTAATTCTGGGCTATGCGCGGAAAGGGCTCTGTCAGTACATGGCCTTCACCACATCAGAACCTGCCGAGGTCCCCAGACCCGCCGAGTGAGTTGGTGGCCGGACTCGACGCTGCACCGGCCCCAGCAGGGACGGATCCCAGGCCAGACCCAGCGTTAGTCCCCACCCCAGGCCAGACCCAGCGCTGGCTTCCTCTCCAGGCCAGAGCCAGCGTTAGCCTCTACCGCAGCATGTCGTAAGTGGCACCGCGTCAATGGAGAAATTCTTCATTTCCCGCCCGATTTTCACCTGTTCAGACACCGGAACGGGCTCCGCTTTAGAAAACCTTTGAATGAAATACGTTGGGACCTAAATGTCAACAACTATCCTGCCAAAAAAACTAGCATTGGCATACAGGATTTGACGGCGACAGGAGCTGTAATTGCGCAACTAAATGGTCACTGTGAAATTGTCGGCTTAGTGTAAGTGGCGAGTGGGTGCCTACCGTGGTATGAATGTTAGCCCGTGAACACTAACAGTGTCGTTAGAATGTCTTCAGCGGCTTGGGACCGGATGGTTGATTTACAACTGCACGCACACATCCGGTAGTGAGTGAATGACATTGAATCAAGACTGACTGAAGGGCCGAATGAAGTAGTCAGTAAGATTGTGCCTGCGTCGCTTGGAGGCACGCTAACAATGGATCCCAAGGGATCGCCTTGCCGATGCCAAGCAAGGTGGGGCTCATGTTTGTTTCCATTTTTGTGACCAGAGCGTGTGATCAGTGTCATCAGCTCCTGGATTTGGTGGCCGGGCCCACATGAACGTCTCTGCCCGTTTATGTGACCAGAGCGTGCGATCAGTGTCACTAGCTCTTTGGCTTGGTGGCTGAGCCCCCATGAATGTCTCCGCCCGTTTATGTGACCAGATCGTGTGATCAGTGTCATCAGCTCCTTGACTTGGTGACCGGGCCCACATGAACGTGTCCGCGTGCACACTGACGCTCGCTTCACTTGCCACCAGTGCCGACGAGCATTTGCTACCCGCAGCAGGCCGCGGCGTACGGCCACTGGGGCTTCAACGAGTCACGCAAGTACGGCGTGATCGCCTACAACTTCCTAGTCGGAGGTAACTGTCCCCGGTCACTGTTGCCTCTGCTGCCGTAGCGGGTCTTATCTGTTGGGCAGCAGTCGGAGACGCGGCGCCGCATTGTGGTAGTTTTTAGGAGGGTTGGTCGGAGTTGCGCATCTGTGGTCCCACACTGGGATCAAAGCATTGCGTTGCGTATCACCTACTCGCATGTGGTCGGCTTTTTAACATGCTTAATGTGCGTATGGTTTGGGGCTGGGGTTTCCCGTATGGTGTGGGGCTGGGATTTCCCGTACAGTTTGGGGCTGGGATTTCCCGTATGGTGTGGGGCTGGGACTTCCCGTATGGTGTGGGGCTGGGATTTCCCGTATGGTGTGGGGCTGGGATTTCCCGTGTGGTGTGGGGCTGGGATTTCCCGTATGGTGTGGGGCTGGGATTTCCCGTATGGTGTGGGGCTGGGATTTCCCGTATGGTGTGGGGTGGGATTTCCCGTATGGTGTGGGGCTGGGATTTCCCGCCCCTGGCCAAATGTCCCCTCACTCAACAGATATCCCCCCTCCCCACTCACAAAGCTCCAGACCTGTTCTTGCCCAGTCATATTTATAAACTTGGGGCGAAAATACGTATTTTAAAACGTGCAAGATTCAGCGATAAAAAACATCCCTCACACCTTACAATGAACTTGTGCAAAATTTGAAGTAAATATGACAAGCGTGTGCATGCGCTCCCCAATGAACGGCTGCTGCTTGCTCTAGACGTTACGGTGTACTGTGACGCGGCGCTGCTGCAGTCGGTGCCTAACGGCAGGCAAAATCCACCGCGAGAGGGGGCGATGATAACGGTGCAGTAGGCAGTGGCGAATCTCGGAAATCACCATAGAGAGCGCATCCAAAGCCATGTATGCGGCTAACGCGCTCCCTGGGACCGCCAGCTAACCTTACTATGGAATTTATTAACATGATATTTCGGCGATGTCATTTTTAGAGCCCTCATTTGGGCTATGCCTGCAAAAGGCGATCTTCTGAACAGGGATGTTTCACCTCCAGCGGGTGTCCTTGACCTCGCGTTTCCAACGAAATCCACCACGGACTGTCGAGTTCCATTAACTATGTTCCCTTGCACTGACCTAACAATGTGGAGACCCACTCGCGATGATGCAGGCATCCTTCAAAGAACCATTCAGTCAGAATTTCATGTTATAACAATCCATATAATGTATCTGATGGTTTCATATCATCGTGACCTCTCTGACATTCTGTCCTCATCAAACAAGAGTCTCTGCAGTGGGTGACATTTTTTTGTACGAACTCAACCTGAATGGAATCTTGATTTAAGCACTGAGTTGCATTTCAAGGTAAGTGGATTTGATAAACATGGTCTGAATTGTCAAACTTATGAAATAACATATCGCCACCACGCCATCGCGACGTCGCGGCATCGAAGCCCCAAACAAGTTTGTCTGAAAGGAAGCTCCTTCAACGATGGGCCTGCTAGTGCGTGCTGCCTGACACTAAAAGATGAGAGCGCGCAGTTGTTCCCCGGAACTGTGAGACGTCCGGGACGAATTTCACGCATCGTCCGATAACCTGGGAGTGGCATGGTGAGCCAGACAGGTCCAGGAGCTGCTCTCGAGCGGTTTAGCGCAGTCTGGCGTGCGCCCGTCATTGGTGGCTCAGCAATCTGTACTGGCCCCGTGATCATGACAGGGCAGAACCTCGCCTCCCAGTTCAGCTCCCAGCACCGAAGACGTCACGGGGGGCTTAGTGGTATCTACTGTCCCCATGATCGTTTCAGGGCAAAACCTCGCCTCCCAACACCGGCGACACGGCTGTGGCGCCAGCCTGCGTTCCTCGCAGCGAGACCTCTGTGCGCTGCCGTCTTCCTCACCAACCCCGTTTTGCCAGAAATCGTTGCCAGGGGCACGCTGTGGGGGGTGTACGGAGTACGCGTTGTTTTACTCTCCATGGATCACATCTTGAGCCGATTTTAGCTGCAACCTGAGAAGCTCCGTGGCATTAACAGTAGCAGCGGTGAACTTGCAACGCGCCATCATGCCAGCCAAAGTAGCCAGCTGTTCAGCTCACCGCCTGGGTCCCGCGTACCTTGCGCAGCATAAAGTGGAAGGATCTAGTGCTAGTGTTAGCCTAGTGTTAGTGTTATGCTATCGCTAGTCAGCAGAAGCGGCTGACGGGCCTAGTCTGTTTTTCTGTTTCGTTGATGCCGGCACTGCTCCGGCCGCCACGGCCTGACAGTAGCATCCCGATTAGACTGCTGACGTCACTGACAGGAACGCCGTAACATCCTGCGTGTTCGCTTGTCTCGACGGCGCTGATCCATAGATTTCGCGCTGGCCGGGTCGTGATAAATGTGGCCATGTTTCTCGTTTCTATCTTTAGACGTAAGTCGAGTCTCGAATTAGCACTCAATTGAGACCGTGAATTAGCACTCATTTGAGGCCGTACACAGACTGAGATCCTGCTTTCCGCAGAGGCTCGTTGCCTTCGGCTGTGACATTCAAGCACGTTGTAACGCTTGTGATAATGTGACATCGTTCATGACTTGCCTACATGGATGAATATCACATGGCACTGCCAGTGGGCATTTCAAGAAAATCGCACGTTTCGAGTGGGCATCCAATATTCGTTTGGCGTCAAGAAATTCACCCGAAAGCTGGACACATGGTAATTCCAGCGATTTATTTCACAGAACATTTTGGGAGTATTGGCCTTAAATGGCTTTAGTGCAGCAATCCCTTCCCTTGCCATTTGCAGTGTGTTGTTTGCGAAATGGTCGTAATGACGCTTGTAACTTCCCCACTTTTGATGCATAATTAGGGCCAAGACCTCACGCAACAGCATCTATTTAAACCGCAATGTCCGTTTTGCATGAAGGGCATTTGAGCTTCGATCACGTCGTTCCTAATCTTCCTGTAGGGCTCTAGTGGAGTAGTTGCCACCGTTGTATTCGGCTCCAGCTTCATGCCTTATATTTCACAGTCACCTATCGGGCGCACGAATGCCATCTTTCTTCAGAAAACTACCACGTGACATAAGTTTAATGGTTACCTGCCGGCAGTCTTGGCCGTACTGTAGAGACAGAGATCACCTTTTACCATGACCGGACCGCATGCGCCGCTGCCTTCTTTCCAATACTTTAGTACCTATAGACTCTAACTAGGGCCAACACATTTATGGTACGCCGGTTGTCTCTGTCGGAGACGGTACACAGTCATGACCAGCCAAAGCGGGCTGCCTCCGCTTGCCCCAGACGAGTGTGGCTGAAGGGTCCAAACAGGTGCCAGAGACCCGCGGCAAGGTCGGTGCCAGAGCCCCGCGGCAAGGTCGGTGCCAGAGCCCCGCGGCAAGGTCGGTGCCAGAGCCCCGCGGCAAGGTCGGTGCCAGAGCCCCGCGGCAAGGTCGGTGCCAGAGTTCCGCGGCAAGGTCGGTGCCAGAGCCCCGCGGCAAGGTCGGTGCCAGAGCCCCGCAGCAAGGTCGGTGCCAGAGTCCCGCGGCAAGGTCGGTGCCAGAGCCCTGCGGCAAGGTCGGTGCCAGAGCCCCGCGGCAAGGTCGGTGCCAGAGTCCTGCGGCAAGGTCGGTGTCAGACCCCTGCGGCAAGGTCGGTGCCAGAGCCCCGCGGCAAGGTCGGTGCCAGAGCCCCGCGGCAAGGTCGGTGCCAGAGTCCCGCGGCAAGGTCGGTGCCAGAGCCCCGCGGCAAGGTCGGTGCCAGAGCCCCGCGGCAAGGTCGGTGCCAGAGTCCCGCGGCAAGGTCGGTGCCAGAGCCCCGCGGCAAGGTCGGTGCCAGAGCCCCGCGGCAAGGTCGGTGCCAGAGTCCCGCGGCAAGGTCGGTGCCAGAGCCCCGCGGCAAGGTCGGTGCCAGAGCCCCGCGGCAAGGTCGGTGCCAGAGCCCCGCGGCAAGGCCGGTGTCAGACCCCCGCGGCAAGGCCGGTGCCAGACCCCCGTGGCAAAGGTCGGGCTCACTGCCCGTCTCTTTGGTTTGCTGTTTGATCTGGATAAGAGCCCTTTGCACCAGCAATGGCCACTTCAGGGCCACAGGATAGCAGAGAGAGGTGAGTGGCTGAGGCGATGTTGCAGCTACCTGTGAGACCTCTACTACCGGGCGTCACCCACAACGGGAGCGAACCGCCTCGCTGCTTGTGCGGAGGCTTGGGCGCGTCTGCCCCCTGGTTGACTGGGAAGCCGGCTGGCGACGGAGGGTCGCAGCTTGCGCCGGGGAGGCGGCGTGGCGCGAGGAGTCAGCAATGAACGCTGCGCGAGCAACGGAGTGTGGACGACTGCCTGTTGTGGTGTGCATCTCATTTGAGGGGTCATTGCTACACCTGCACGGGACCGATTACGAGAAACGAACGCTGGAGAAGTGTATTTCGCATGCAGTTCGCGTTCGTAATGTCTTGCGGAATGGAGTGCGTGATGGGGCGAGGAGACCCGACAGGTCTTGATCAGCTGTTATGGTTCAGGGGTTTCTGGCAAACGCAACAGAAATCTAGCACCCGGGTACGGCGGGAGACCATTGCATTGAACCTTGATTCAGGGGTATCTATTTGCATTTTTTGGAAGGGTCCTACCCGCCCGGGCCGAAATGTTGAGTTCCCCCTCCCTACTGTTAACTTGGCCTCCAATATCTTTTAAGATATCGTAACGAATTATTACAAAATTAGGGATGCTGCCTGTTGCACAAATCCTCTTTGAGCATTAATTGCTGGCGATGAGAGTACGATGCTATTTCAATAAAGGACCGTGTCGGTGATGATACACAATAAATAACAAACAAAAATATAATTCATGACAAATAGTGGGCTAAATCCGTTGAAAACGTACCGTTGGGGAACTAGGTCGTCGGGTCCCCGGCTCGGCGCTCCCCATCACAACAGCTGATGTCCCTGCCTCGGTTGTAGCTGTTGCAACAGGACTGTTGTTTGGAGGCAGCCGATGATGATGCCTGGGATGTCGGGCATCACAAGTTTAGCATGACGGTGAAAGGTGCAGAGCGTAGGAAATCAAATGCGTGACAAACTTCGGCGAGTCCTGAGCTCATGTAGTTCCGTATATTCCGGCCACCCTTAACGAGGCTTGATAACTGATGCACCAACAGTCGGTGCCGGCACTTTCGTCGTGCTGGTCGCTGATTTTTTGCCCGGCGCGCGGCGTCTACTTCGGTGGTGAGTCAAGTGCCGTCCGCTATTTGTCTTGCTCTTAAATCGATGGCAGCGTATGTCCAAGTGACATTAGGATCAGAGGACTCCCGGTGTTCACCGAGTGGTAAGCACACCTCGATAGATCACTCTCGTCGCGTACTTCTGTCTTGTCTTAAACCAAGCAATATTGCAGGATTGAAAATAAGTCTCTTATCATGAGGCCCCGCCACGGACTTTCTCGTGTCCGGGAAATACAATCTTGTGTGCTGGAGACGGTACTTTCCACGTGCATCGAAATTCACGCAGTTTTGCCTTCCGTCCTGAGCCAACTAGTTATCAGACGAGGTGTGAATCAACCAATGTCCTAAAGGCACCACGCGGCCCAGCCATGTCTGACGACGTAGAAGGGCATCTCACAGCCTTTCAGACCCTGCCAAAAATAACCTACATTTTGACCAGCCTCGATTGCGTGACGCTAATCCAGCCTCCTTCCGCACCGGTTCAGTAGAGCAGCTGACACGTTGGAGCCGCTGCGTGCGTTCTTATCTTCTGCACAGATCTTGCGTCGCGCCACCTGCCGGCCGGTTCGCGACTCAGCCTGACGCCTGCCCTGGTCCTCAGCCCGGCCGGACGAGACCGCCGCGCCGAGCGCGCCGCCCAAGCCGGCACCGAGCGCGCCGCCTAAGCCGGCGCCTCCCGCCGAAAGGCCGGGTCCTGCGGCGACGCCGGAGGTGCCAGCGCCGACCCCGACTCCGGCCCCCAAGCCGACCAAGGTCAGACCCGGGCGGCCGTGCTGACGCATGACGGCCCAGCGTCGGCGCCACAGAGGCTCCCTCGCGGAGACCTGGCGCAGACGCAGGCGCCGCCGGCACAGCAGGCTGGGGTCGGCTGTCACGACCGCGCAATTTGGCGCGCGGTTGTCTCATGCCCTGCTCGTCGGGCGGGGCTCGGTAGTCGATGCTCGCATACAGTGAACAGGGCGCGGCATGGCTCGTTCAAGCTCCAGCGCGTCGTCCGAATGTAGCGGCGTCCCAGAAGGTGCGGCCGCGACACAGCTCGGCTGCGTGGCTTGCAGTGGGTCCGGTGCGGCTGTGGGCGTCCAGGCCGCCGAGTGCGTGACGGCCGGGGTCGGGCCGTGGCCAGCAGGGACGCCGTGACCGGAGCGTGCTCGCCTCCGCCGGCAGGTCATCGCGCCCGTGGTGGACGACCCGGGCCAGGCGAACCCCGAGGACGCTGACCTCTACACAACGCGGTCGAGCTGATGGGCCCGGCTGTCCGCCGGCGGTGCGGCGCCACGACACGTGACGCGACCGGAGACTGTGACTGGGCTGGCTAGCCGCGCCGCCGCCCGAGTAGGCACACAGCCGTGTCTAGCATGTTAATAAAAATACAGGTTTATTAAGAGCCGAAGGTAGAGTACGGATGTAGTTGAAGGTTCAGAGCACTGCAGCAACAAGCCCATATAGTGTGATCTCGATCGCACATTCGTAACAATGGGTCACTAAACGTGAGTAATCTGGTACAACGGACGAGCCGAACTAGCGCGAGCTCGCGCCCGCTATTGTACGAAAATAGACACTGCCTCGCGCGTATTCTGGCACTTGATGAGGAGAACGGTGCCGCCCAGCCCGCTGACTAGGCCGCCGTCGCTGTGCGTCCCTCGGCCCCCTCGGTCCGCGCGACACTGTTACCCCACGTCCATCGTCACTGGAATGCATCCGCACGAGGCGCGACCACCATCCCTGCTGAGTCGCCCGGCCGGCGGCCGGCCGCCTAGCTGAAGATGTCGAAGAAGGGGAACGATGCCTTCTCGGGCTGCATGAGGTCGGCCAAGAAGCAAACGGTGCCGGCCAGACCCTCGAACAGCGAGTACGGGCAGTCTGGCTGGCGCGAGTGCCGGTGGAACTGCTCGGTGAAGATGAAGGAGGCGAACTGCTGGGCGCGGTGCAGGTGCCGCTGGTCGCCCGTCAGCCGGTACAGCAGCAGGAACACGTAGCCGCTGCCCGACACGCCGTGGCAGATGCCTGGCCGAGAGGCAGACACGCCGCAGTCAGTGACCAGCACCCCGTCATCCCTTCGGCGGCTGCGTGATCGGATGTGACAGTTGCTACCCAGTGGGCACCGATACCGGAAACCGCCGCCAGAGCGATACCCAGCGTAACGGCATTACCGCTTAAACCACGGCGGTCTCTGACAGCCTCCGACGCTAATGACGCGCCAAGATCACAACTCCACGCCGACAGCCTGTACATGACTCATCCACAACGGCCTGATTCGTCTTTTCAGGTGGTGAGTCATCTCGGCACAGACGCGCTCGGACTGATGCGAGGGCGGGCCATGTCCCCGTCGGCGGCCGGCCCGTCCGCGTTGACGCGCTGGTGCTGCCGACTGTCGTTGTTTACACTCGGACTCGGAAAACTCGCGGCAGTCACCCGGCTGACAGGGACCCGCCCCTCCCCTCCCTTCCCCGCCCCGCGCCGAAGACCGGTGCGGTCTGGTGACAGTCACACACGGACTAGGCTGGGCTCATCGTGAACCCTGCTCTTGCAACGTCACGGCCGTTCCACGTCAGCGATCTGGCGAATGCATAACGAAGCGGTGGCAATGCCGGCCGCTGGGTGTTTACCGGCGCGCGTAACTGGCCACGATCTGGTCAACACTGGCGGAACTGGAAGCATCCAGCGTTCGGCATTTAATTAAGGTACTCCTATGACGCGTCAGAACCCTTTCACCGCCGTGTTTGTACTGTTTCACCGCTCGCTCGGGCCCCTACCTGCTACAACTGCCTGATAAATGACAGTTCCAATATCCGACAGTTTGCAAGTTATCTGGCACACAAAAAGCTGGGGGGTGACCCGCTCCTTACCGGGTCCTTTCCGCAGAAGTCCCTTCTGCCATGTGATCTCTCCACACTTGAGGCATGCGTGCAGGTACTTGTCCTCCTTGAACACCAGGTATGCTTTGGCAAGCATGTACACCACACCTGAAAAACACAGGTAGGTTTGCATAGTATGCACCGCTCATCGCGGAAGACATCCATGAAAACAAAACAACAAACTGCTATGATTGACTTCTACCGTCACATGCGCACTTGCCGAACTATCCACGGCAACGAGCGCACGGAACCAGCAGAAAGCAAACATATGACTGAAGCATCAGGCGACCACATCCCAGACTACTCACAATCCACATTTACATATATGCTTGAAGTGGCCCATCATTTACAGAACCCCACGAACGTTCCGAATGTTCGATAAGAAACACAAGACAACAACGAGCGGTGGCAATGGCCCATCTGCCCATCTGACACCGCACGGGCGCTACGCAACATCTGTAGAACATTCCCAGACAGTGACCCTCTCTCTGCGACACCAGAAGATGATGCTCAGACACTTGTCCACTGCTCCACGGGACCAGCAGGCCAGCCTACAACGCTAGGCTGGCTTTCCAAGACACCAGTGGCGGGCCCCGTGACACTGACCTGGTGATCGGCGACACCAGTTGGACGAGCCGTGGGCTCACCTGGTGCTGCACACCAGACGGTGACACTGACCTGGCGCTCCGTGACACCAGCGGACGGGACAATGACACTGAACTGGCGCTCCGTGACACCAGCAGACGGGAGTGACACTCACTGGCGCTCCATGACACCAGCGGACGAGAGTGACACTGAGCTGGCGCTCCAAGACAACAGTGGGCGGGACAGTGACAACAGCAAAAAAGGACAGTTGACACCAGTAGACGAGACAGCGACATGGGCAGAACGAACAATGGCACCCGTGGATGGGACAGCAGCACTGACCTGGCGCTCCATGACACCAGTGGATGAGCTCCTCGGGCTCTGGTCGCCGGCCGCCCAGTTCGTCCATGGCGCATGGGTAGTTGCCGTTGGGCTGCTGCAGGCTGGTCAGGAAGTCGAGCGTCGTCTTGACGTCGCGCGACACGTCCGGCCGCGACAGCAGGTAGTCTGGGACCGACATCAGCATCTGCAGGATGGCGCTGATGCCGTGCGCCGCGCCTGAGAAATGGCGCACAGTTCGGTCACCAGGCGAAACCGTAGCGGGCGTCCGGGCGAGCTCCGGTCCGGAATGTCAGTACCACGCTAGGGATTTGAGGACACAGAGTTCTCGTTTACCTGCTGGAGGAAATGACAGCTTCACGGGCCTCCTCAGTGCCAACTTACAATTGGGAAGCATAGTTATGACAGGTTGAGAACAAACACCTCATGAAGCGCGGTATCGGCATTGGGGCTTTACGACGCACTCAGCTGCTGCCGCTGTATGGCGTCGCCTGGCTCTTACAATGACAGCCAAAGCGGCCACCGCGGGAGATCGAACTCCGCATCTCTGGCTTCCTAGACGAGCAGCTTAAAGAGACTGTTCCACATTATAATAGGATTTTGAACTGAAATAGCCACCTTAAAAATCATTTTATGGAGCTCACAACCCTGCCCTTCTTGAGACACAACTTCCCCAGTTTCTAAGCTACACGCAGACTGTTGACTATTTTTTTACTGACTTGGGCAGATTATTTTGGGGAGGCTGGTCCAAGGTCACCCAGGTATCAATGACGCCAAAATAACGTCGTCCAAATCCCATCATTCCACTGGCTATATGGAGAACAAGCTCAAACGAAAAAAAAATTGTCAATTTGATCAAATTTGGCGTTCGTGAGCACAATTTCCAGATATAACGGCCGTCAATTGGCTCCCAATCAATGCCGTGTAAGTTACGATGACGTAATCAAACAACGCCGCATCGAGGAGCATATAAACTCAACAGAGAAATGGTGTTACCTAGGGCAGTCTTTTGCCGCTTAAAAGTGCACTTGGAGTTACAAGTGAGCTTAACTCATCATCCCCGATATTTGCTTCAATATCTTCAAGTGTGGAACATTCCCTTTGACCACCACACTACCGGTACCTGGTGCACGATAACCATTGATCTCCTAAAACACATCCGGTGTAATGCGCATTCAAAACCCCCTCCAGCGCATGACTGTCGCCACACTCGGGAGATCAGTGTGAGTGGACCGGCTCAGACTGACCTAGGTACTCGGTGTCGTAGTAGGCGTACATGAGCGGCACGGGCGACCGCTGACGAAGCGAATACTCGCGGCCTGACTGGATGATGGCGTCGCACAGCGAGAACATCCGCTCCTGAGGCAGGATCTGCGAGGCGCCGGGCCACAGAGCTCCTTAACTGATCAACCCAGAGCGAGCATCCGGGGACATGTGACAGCACGGTATCAATACATAAAATGTTACCAATGGTGCAATGTCAGCCAGCTTGTGTGGCATGTGAGCAGTGTGCCTGCCCTCAGTCAGATTAAAAATTCAAAAGCCTCCCGTCATCGTCCGCACACTTACGTCGACGCTGAGGGTCTTGCGGAGCCACAGGGCCCCACAGATGAAGCCTGCGCGCCCCACAAACAGCTCGTCGCCGCCGCAGCGCAGGAAGTGGATCGGCTGGCAGTGGGTGGCAGCTGCCGCATAAGACTGCAGGTACTTGTGACATAGCTCTTGGTCACCTGGTGACAAAGGCAGCATACCATCAAACAGCAATGCTAAGTGGTGCAGGTGATGCCCAGGTCATAACCTTGACACATGAGCATGCCTATTGCATGATGGAAGGCATCAGCATGTCAAAGGCATGTCAGTATGAACACGAGGGAAGGCATGACACACAGGCTCATTGAGCAACATTTGACACCACACTTTTGAATTATATTGAAAACAATGTGTCCAGAGTCCAGACCAGAATTGTGCACGTCACTGGGGCTTTACAACCCCCTCAGCTGCTGAGGCCATATGGCATTGCCTTCCCATTCCCAGATCAGTGGGTTGACTCAATTACTTCAACTTTCCCTCATAGTGTGGTGTCCAAATTTCCAAATATGTTGTTCAAAAAATTGAATACATGAAGCACATAAGATTCACACACCTGTCATGGAATTGAATTGCAAATTATGCATTTTTGAATAACTCACAATTTAAGCAATACATGTGCATAACATGTAAAAGCATGATCCTTCCGAAACTACAATAAGGTACAAGGCATGCAGCATTGGTTCCAATTATAATGAGAAGATGCATAAAATTATGGAAATTCAAAAGGAAAATAGACTGCTGTCTTGTATACATGTCTTTGATACCTGATGGAAACCATTTTTCTCCTCCACACTTAATTCCTTCTTTAACAAAGTAGGACTTCATGCCACATTAAGTTCACAAATGCATTCACAAGACAAGCCTACTTGTCACACAATGCATACATGTTACACACATATTTTGCTCCACCAAGGATATTTGCTCAACTATATCAAAACTCATCTATACCATCAGCCTATATGATTGAACATCTGTCATTAAATGTACCATAACCAAAACATCAAGAAGCATTATCAGTATGCAGCAGAACAGACCTTGTTTTATAAATTGTGATAAATTCAATAATATGAATAGCATCATTCCAGCCCTGACATCATACAATGGAATATGATGTACAGTAAAGTCTCAAATCTACTGCCTTAGTACCACCTATGAAAACAAAACTATGCATATCATGAGCACCTACTGATCAGCAGTGCAAAACATAAAAATGACAGCAAATTGTGATAGGAGCACATCTTTTGATAACAAAAAGATGAAGAGGACTTGCCAATTTAGGACTCAAGTTGAGAATACAAGTTAATTCACAGATATGCTTTGACTAATTACACAAGTGCTGATGTGTATTTGAACATATACAGTTACATACTTAATAACTCTGGTACTCTAGATGAACTGCTTGACTAGCACACTGTCTTTTGTTTTTTTTCTTGAGTTTATCTACTTTTTATCTTAAAGGTATACCTATAGGTGTTACTCAAAGATGTTGCCATAATACATCCTACATTTTCTACCTTTACTTGTTGTAGATTCATGCTCCTACCTTCAAATTTTAATAATTACGATCGTGAGCTCCCGAGCGCCGCACACACCCCACCACCTTGACTCCCCCGCCCTGTTTTTGCGTTACGTCGCGTAATTACAACATTCCTGTTTATCAAGAACCATAAAAAATTACGGGGCCAAGGTAACAATAAAAATGCAATGAAAAATCGTTTCTTATCACATCTGGGTATGTTTATGAAATGGACAGGCCAGAATAGTCCAGAATATAGCCTAAGCCAGCCTAACCTAACCTAACCTAGCCTAACCTGCCCTGCCCTAACCTAACCTAACCTAACCTAACCTAACCTAACCTAACCTAACCTAACCTAACCTAACCTAACCTAACCTAACCTAACCTAACCTAACCCCCCACCCTAACCCCTTGAAACCAGCAGACCATTGGCACCCATATCCCATGCCATATATATACATATACATGTACATATACATATACATATATATATATATATATATATATATATATATATATATATATATATATATAATGTACCATATCACAAGTTTTGTTTAGCCATCATATTCTCATTTTGCTTTTCATTCCCACCCAAAAACATCATATTCCTCCCACTGTGTCTACCAATCTACAAACAATATGGAAGACTGCTTGGATACACAAAAAGCATATTTCATTGGATACTTGTTACCTTGGCCTCATATATTTTTATGGTTCTTGATGCACAGAAATGTTGTGATTGCATGATGGCGCCAGGGTTGTGGTTGCTGCGTATTTGTGGCGCTTGGATGTTTGCTATGGTGAGGTGGCTATGGTGTGGGGCTAACGTGAGGTGGCAATGTGTACCCTGACCCTAATTCCTATTACAGGAGTCCTATTTTGAATAATCGTTACATTCCAATATTTCTCTGCCTCAGCATTTATGCTTGGCTAACTGGATGCCATAAATACTCAACCAGGAATTGTGACTGATCTGGTGCCAGGGCTCAGTTTTAAAAATGGAAGCATCTGTCTCACACCACATCAGTTGGCTCAAAAATCAGTGTAGCCCCTAAATAAGCCAACTTTGTCATGGCCTAGTGGCACAAGGCTGTAACAACCCTGAAAGGAATTTACATACAATGTGTATTTTCAGTCATCCCCATTGGGAAGAGCACATACATGAGCAATTATGATAGCATCACACCTCATGCACAACATTGGATAAAAATCTGATTTGATGATACTTACCCAGTGCTGCATATAGTGATGATGCCACAGCATATACCCCTGCATTACCAAGAAGAAACCCAGCCTTCATGGTGGGGTCAAACTGAACTTCTGGAGCCTGTGCATGCTGGAGAGCAATCTGCATCAAGCTCTGAGCATGTTTCAAATACTCTACCCTCTCAGCTGTGAAGTGAGGTGAGTGCGCCAGGTACCAAAACACATAAGAAATCCCTGACAAACCCACATAAAGGCCACCATCACAGTCCCGGAGGGTTACGGATTGCCGCGTCGTAATGATCTTGACAAACTCCTTTATACGAGGCTTCCAGTCGTATAGGATGACTTGCGTTCCATGATAATCAGAATACGCGTTGGGAAAATATCTCTTCGGCAGCTCATTCTCCTTATCCATCTTATCATTCGATTGTCAGATCCACGCACATGCACCGCGCCGCCCACACGCACAACCACAGCGCGCCGCCATGCAAGCACAGTCCGGATAGTACTGGTCAGAAAAATTATGTTAGAGTTGAATGGTTTTGCAGCGTGGATATTCCGGATGAAAACTGAAAGTTGAGATAGTTACGAGGATATGATTTTAACACCATGATCAAGAACGTATAAACATGCATTTTTAGAAGAATGATGTTTCCGAAGTGCAAGCGAAATACTGCATACCAGCGAAGAGTGACTCCAGATGACGACTCAATAAAACGTGCTGTTTTTCATTGGCATCCCTATTCTCCGTCGTAAAGATGGCGACTAGAGGTGCAAATATTCGAGAGGTGCCAAGCGGCTCCGGAATCCGACTGCACCGAAGCAAAGTTTAAAAAATAATGTTCAGCGCGTCAGAAATATGGTTTATGCACTATCTACTTACTTTTAATCACGGATATCTGGGACACCGGGCATTCTGCGTCTTACTAAAACTGGCACTTCGGGAATGGTGTGCAGAAGTCGCACCTTCAGCGGGCCTTTCCTACTTTCGGAACCCCGCCTCCCTCATGCATACCTACGCCGCTAAATAGATACCCCATGGCTGTTGCGGTTCACGGCTTTGGAACATTGTTATGTAGCTCACATGCTTTAGGACGAGCATCCATGCGCAATGTTCGAACTGTTGAAGGAGAGCACTCCGCTCTCGACGTTACGGAACTCGACTAATGCTCGCTTATAATCAAAACACGCTCTAGGTAGAGCGAGTGATGCTTGACATTACCAAAGCCACTGTCGCCCAGGTCCGACTCTGCTTGCAGCAGACAGCAGATACCGCGGGTGGGGGCAGGAGGGCCGTGCCTCCCCCCTGAAAGACCGTGAAACCATGGCTTGCCTTGCCTCTCCCCAGGAAAATGCGGCCGGGCGTATGCTGTTATGTGCATGCTGCGGCATGCTTCCAACAATTTATGACGTAAGTTTATCCGTTTTGATCCTGTTGGGCCAGTCGACTAGGTCAACAGTCATCGCGTACAGGCAGCTTACGATTGCGGCCGCGGGTCTAACGCGAGTAGTTCATTGCTGGTGGATGGTTACCCGTTATCACATTGATATTTCGAGAGGTGACTTAATCCGCAGTCATGTTGGCTGGGTTCCCCAGTTACCCGTTAGCTCCGTCATCACACCCCGCCTAGCTGTCACAGACTGTCCTGCTCCCCGCACTCAGCCGTCCGACGCGCGACAGCGACCTGAACCCAAGCCACCACCACGGGGCCGTGTCATACATATATAATAAAACCATGTCTGAGTCAGGATATGCGACCCACTAGGCGTTTTAAATGGCATTTCACAAGAACGCCTTGCCCCCCCCCCCCCTCCCTCCCCAGCGAAATCCGCCCCTGCCTGCGACAAACTGCCCTTGGTTTCCGTAAAGTCGTAGGGACTAGGAGTCTGGAGACGTTGGACCCCTCCCCACAGACACACCTAACATTGTTAGAAAGCACATCGATTTTTCCATGACCATCAGTTAAGTTATTGCTGATCTTTCACGAGACAGGGGAGGCCCATGGGCCCTTGCGTACACCCACCCATGCCCCAACACCGCAGCGACGCCAGCTTCAGGTCGCCCGTGGGTATCTAAACCATCAGCTCAACTCACGGGGTCATTCGGGACTTTCTCGCCTGATTGATGCCATGCGTCTTTCAGGTGCGGCAACAGCACAGAAATGTCTTGGGCCTCATTCCCTTTCGCTCCTGATGCAAACATTGGAACCACATAGATCTAACCAAGAGCAACAATTTGGATGGCGTTTTGACAACTTTTTTACGCAACGTAGCGTACAATGAGTATCCCGGCCGCGCCATGACTGAGCAGGTATCCGGGATCAAGGGCCGCTCGACAATCTCCGCGCACATGTGCCAGATAGAAGTGGCAAGGGGATGTGCCGGCCGATACACGTGATAGCCAGCTGGGCTTTCGTCGGACATGGAATCCATTTACCACGATGTATTTTGAAAAGCTGTGAAGTGCACCCTGCTCGTCTGAGACAAACACATAACGCACAGGATACGTGGAAAAGTACGGCAGATATCATGTCAGCTGGTACAATTCAATGTTCTGGCGACAAAACCACGTCCACCATCTGAATCATCTGCTGTCAATGCCGCGTGATTCCTTAAAGACGAAATGGACAGACACCAAATACCCGCACTAAGTTGTACATACATTTGTATTCTCATAAATATCAGTACAATTGGCAAAAATTACAAATATTGTTGAATATTACAACTGCATTTTTTAAAGAAAATAACAATATGTATAGAACAGTTTAGTATCTAGGTATGTAAAAAGAGAGTCCCAACGAGGTTTTCTATGGGTATGCAGTATGAACGCAACAACAGACGCCGGTGTCCAAGACGGGGCGCCCGAGGGGCGCGGATGTGGCAGCAGGGGGCCCGACAGCGTGGAGGTGCGTGTGCGCAGTTTAACAATCACCTGAGATAGAAGGTAGCTGAATCGTGGCGCCAGAGGGCCCGCTGAGGTAACGCCAAGTCTGGCGGTCGGGTGGGACAGGGAGGGAGCAGTGGACCGAGGCGCGCCCTGCTGCCACCCCGCGCCAAGCTAGCTACTCACAAGCATCCAAGCCAGCCAGCCGGCGCGCACGTCAGCGGGCCGTCACAACTACCAACTACTGCGGCCAGTTGAGTACACGCGCTCGCTCGCTCGCTCGCTCGCTTGCTCTCTCGCACACCAGGTACCGTTGACAATGGCCGCCGGGGGAGCTATCCCAGTCAGGATACAAATGCCCGTAACAAGTACGACTCGGCCTAGGGCGACAAGTCATAGCTTTGTACTGAATCGCCGGCAGCACACGAACACTGGTCAGGGAGGGCGGCGGCGCCGGCCGGGCCTGACACGGGCCGCGCGGCGGCTCGCGCCCCCGACACTACGCAGGTACAATGGGGGGACAGGGCGGCGGATTGCCCTCCGTCGTCCGCGGCGGGCGCCACACGTGTCAACTCGCGCTCACACTCTGCCACCCTACCGCGTGAGCATTAAAACTACTATAAATGCTACAGAAGCGATAAACGGGGTCGGGTCGCGCCGGCGCGCCGCCAGGCGACCCAGCGGACGCCGAGCGCCAGCGACCCGAATATTATGCTCGGCGCCCGCTCCCACGCGCACTCGCCGGCGCCGGCGAGGTCCTGTCTGTATTGAACGTTCGGGAATGTGAACTGCAGTGGTGTGTGCGACGGGGGCGGGCGCGACCGCGACCGCCCGTATGGAGCTGGCCGCTTATGGAGGCTGCGGCGGGCCGCCAACGCAAGGAACTCATCGTTAACCGGCCGACAGGGAGAGGTACGGCTGGACCGGTGGCCGGCGCCGCGGGGGCAACGCCGCCCGCGCTCGCGCCAGGGCCGCTCGGCTGTCTGCGCTTACACACTATGAGCCTCTGAGAACCCGAACATGTTTGCGAGGTATTTTGGTCAGCTGCAGGCAGCCCGGCCAGAGTATTCGGAGTCGGAGGTGTAGCACGGCTCGCCCGACCGGCCGCGGGCTGGCCGGCGGCACCGCCACGCAGCGGCTGAGGAGGCGGCGCGCGGTGTCGGCTGCGCCGCGCGCGCCCGGGTCCGCCGCAGGCGCCCATCTGTCTGTGTGTGCATGTGTGGGTGTGTCGGTATGTACGAGCACCTCGCGCCCACGCGCCAGCGGCGATCGGCTCGCGACAGTGGCGCGCGGCGTGGCGCGCTCTCAGCGGGCGCGCGCCCGCGCGTGCGGACGCGCCGCCCGTGTGTTCGAGACCAGGCCACCTGACTAGATTCTACATGTACGCCGCGCGGGACGGGCCTCGGGGCGCTGCCACTGAGTGGTTCGATGCTAGGAGCGTCTGGATTTGGCATCTGAACCGTGCCGCGCCGAACTTTGTACGGAACAAGGCACTTAAAACAAGAACCAAGAGAAGAGGGGCTGTGTACTGGTATGTCGACTACGTGTCTCGGCCGCCGGCGGGACGTGCGGCGAACTCGGCGACCGTGGCGGGCTGGCCGAGCGAAAATAAAACCGGAGCTGTCCGAGCACAACATGAGCGCACGCGATAAAAACAACAGGCAAACGGCGCTAAACACATACACGACAGAAAACAGAGGTAAAAGCGTCACGTCACCAGCAGCTGCGAGGCGCATCATTGGCGCGCGACCGGCCAATGGGAGCGGGGCGCGGGCGCGGCGGCCAATCAAATACATACATATCTCCAAATAAAGTACCCGTTTCGTTTCAAGTATATGCAGGTGTGTCTCAGTGTCTGTGTCTGCTGTGTGTCGGTGTGTCTGTGCGGGCGGTGCCTCAGGGCGGCTGGTCTTGGGCGGAGGAGTGGTTCAGCAGCGACGAGTTGTTGTTGATGAGGCTAACGCGCGACTCGACGTGCTCGTCCGAGCCGCGGCGCTGGCGCTCCGAGCCCCGGTACAGCGGATGCACAAACCCGTTGGCGCGTCCGTTGGCCGGCTTGCTTGGCGCCTGGCCGCCCTGGTGGCGAGCGGCGATGCGTCAGCGGCGAGCCCGCGCACCGTCCGAGGAGCGCACCGGCACAGCGTGCCAACTGCGCTGGTCACAGCCGAGCTAGGCGGGTCAGCAATCACACACACAGGCTTAACTCTCGCGCTTCCACCTCTGTTGTATATGAGACATGCAGGCCGAACAGACGCTGTCTTCGACGGAAGGGCGTCGCACGCACGCCAGACTGGGCCGCGGAACACCCAAACGGCCACACACATATGGGCTCTGTAGTACACACCACACGGCGTCTGGCCGGGGGAGTGATCGGTGCCGTGACCGGCCACACCCGGGCCACTCGCCGGCCACGGCGCCTCACCTTGGTGTCCAGCTGGTGGCCGCCGGCGGGCGGCACATGCGTCAGCATGGGCGTCAGCGCGTCCATCTCGAGGTGCTCGGCGCCGTCGGCGGCGGCTCCGGCGCCGCAGGTCGCGCCGGCGCCGCGCGGCCGACCGTCGGCCGGTGGCGGCTGCCGCAGATGACGGTGGCGGCGACGGCGGCGGCGCCAGCACGCGACCAGCACCACCAGCGTCGCCAGCAGCAGGGCCAGCAGCAGCACGCCGACCAGGATAGCTACCACGGGCGCTGTCGGGTCAGAGCGCCGCAGTCTAAGCCGGCCGCTGCCGCGCGGAGTCTGGCAGCGTCCGGCGAGCGCCCCACAGCCACCGGACGCACGCTAACCCGCTGACGTCCATTTGTCTGGCGCTGTATTTGTTTACGAGGTTTAGGTCAACGGAAACACACGAGCAGCAATTTTTTAGTTCTTTTCAATTTGCCGGGGTTCAAATGTTACTTTGTGGAATCACAGCTTTTTGTTCGCGCTAGGAGAAACAAAAAGACAACTTTTTGAATATACCCTACACTTCATCAATAACGGCATCATCAGCGGAAACATTTCACAAAAAAGAAGTGATTAGTGACGTCGTGCATGCCGCACTAGTCGTAAAAACAGACGGCCGCACACATCCACCAACCAATCACAACCATTCACCGAGGGGACAACCGTTCAAGGTTTCGTGGAACACGCCACAATTTTCTATGCGACACCCCGGGCGCGATGATGAAGAGACTGTTCCACATTTGCATGGGGCGCTGAGCTGAGAAAGCCAGTTTCAGTGTCATTCCCTGCAGTTAACAGCCATGCCATTCCGAGATTTCAAACCCTCTTGTTCTTGAGCTTGACGCATGCGGACATGCGCGGCCCATTTCGCGCCGCCTGTTTGAAAGCCACGCAGACATGTGTGACGTCAAAGGAACGTCAAGCGAATGCCCCACCTCATTGGCTGTATTGTGTCCATGGTTAAGAAAAACGTGGCCGCTGCAATATTCGTGTTTGAAATGAATCTGCACTGAGTGTTCTCACGACAGCAACCAACTGAATAACATCCATGCCGAGCCGCAGACTGCATGCCCTCACTAGGAACCGCGTTTGGTGAAGCACAGCACGAGCATTTGGGCAAGTGTTAGTTATGACGGACATGAGGCTGCTAATCGAATACGGCAGGACTTGCGCCGTAACCGACAATGCGAATGCAAGTAAAAAGGAACTCATAACGGAAAACTCCAAGAACCCCACGAGAAAAGGCAACGAAAAACGAGGGCGAAGGCAACAGATAGTGACGTATTAAGAAACGTAATAACTCAATACTCAACTGGAACAATCTTTTTGACTTAAAAGCATGCCGAAAGTTCTCAATATTTTCTAATGTGGAACAGTCCCCTAAAATTCCGCAATGGTTGGTACATCTTCAACCATTGTAGAACACAACCGTTTATTTTAAATCACAGTTGCACAAAACCAAATAAACCGTTTGTAAGAGTGGCGTACATTTTAAGGAAACGTTCCACCGTAACTTTATGTCAAACTTTAGGTGACACGGCACGTATCTAGCGAGATCCACACAATGATAGCACCACTGCGAGTTCGAGCGCATTAGTTCCTGCGAGTTCGAGCACATAGGTTCCCGCGAGTTTGAGCGCATTAGTTCCCGCGAGTTCGAGCGCATTAGTTCCCGCGAATTCGAGCGCATTAGTTCCCGCACATATAAACCTTACACCTGGCGTATATTTCGTTTCAAGTATGCAACTATGCATTACGCACATCATAACATAGCACGACACGCTGACTGGCGATGAAACATCACGCAGTGCAGCATACCGCGGCAGATTTGCTGCAAACAGCTTCATTGAAGCAAATCACTGGTCGACCCCCGTGCACGACTCCGCCATTGGTCAGAGCATTTCAACAGCGAAAAGTGTTCGGCAATAATTGCCTGGGCAGTGTTTGTAGTCTGGCGTCATGCGCAGCAAAATGCGACGGTATTAATATTTTTCTTAGAGCTGCATAATCCTCACACTTCTAAAAAAAACCCAGAGCATTGTCAGCGTGCTACGCTTAATCCGCAGTCCCTGCCTGGTTATAACCAAACGTGAACGTTCCGTTTCCCTGAAGCATAAAACGCAGTTTTCCTGCGTCTGCATCACGGGCACTGACCGACATTGGTGCTGGCAGGCGTCTCGTCGGCCTTGCCCTCGGCGCTCCGATCGAGCACGGCGCGGATCTGGAACTCCGCCGGGTCGGACAGGTCGCCCAGCGCCGTGGCCGTGCGCGCGCGCACGCGCACCCAGTACTGTTGATTGGGCACCAGCTTTGCGATCTGGCGGCGGCGGACGTGCGGCGTCAGGGCGGGGCGCCCGGTCATGGCAGACGTCCCAGCAGTGCAGTGCGGCGACAGCGCATGCCAGCGGGTCACAGCCGACCCGAGCGCAGCGCCATCGTGCCGTCCCGTCCCCGGCGGCAGGGACACGGCAGACCCGCCCAGGCTAATCCGTCTCCCAGCTGAGCTGCCGGGCCCGTCCCGTCCCCGGCGGCAGGGACACGGCAGACCCGCCCCGGCTCGTCCGCCTCCCAGCTGAGCTGCCGGGCCCGTCCCGTCCCCGGCGGCAAGGACACGGCAGACCCGCCCCGGCTCGTCCGCCTCCCAGCTGAGTTGCCGGGCCCGTCCCGTCCCCGGCGGCAGGGACACGGCAGACCCGCCCCGGCTCGTCCGCCTCCCAGCTGAGCTGCCGGGCCCGTCCCGTCCCCGGCGGCAAGGACACGGCAGACCCGCCCCGGCTCGTCCGTCTCCCAGCCGAGCCGCCAGACCGGCCCCGTCCCGTCCGCGGCGCCAGGCCCACCTGCATCTGTGTGCCGGAGCTGGCCGGGATGTCGAGCGCAGTCCATCGGTCGAGCGGCGAGTCGCGGTCGGCCGTGTACAGCACGCGGTAGCCGGACACCTGGCCGTGCGGCGAGCGCGGCGGCCGCCAGCGCACTAGGATGCGCGACGCGTCCAGCGGCGACCAGGTCACGTTGGCCGGCGGCGTCGGCACTGTGGCCGCCGGCGGGGCGCGTCAGGGCACGCCCGCACGGGCACCGGGCCGACACGGCACTGGAGGCACCCACAATACACAGACGAGGCGAAAATAACTGCTAAGATGGTGCTGCTCAGGACACATAACCAGTGAGCCAGGAAGTCGTTAAGACGTATCATAGCAGATAGCAGGCGCGTTAAGTCGACGGCCGACAAGCCAAGCACCCTTTATTCCGGTCCGACCAATCTAAATCACTGGGCAGGGAAACCCCAGCAACGTGTGCCCGTGTGTATGCTGTCGGCCAGGGACCGCTGGCAAGAGTCAAACACTCACGCGGTAGTGCGGTGGTGTCACTCGGCGCCTCACCTCCCTCCAGCGTGCGGACCCTGACGCCCTCCGAGAACGGTCCGTCGGTGCCCTCGGCGTCATGACTGCGCACCGAGAACTCGTAGTATGTGTACGGCTCCAGGCCTATCACTGTCACCTCTCGGCTGGTACTGCGGGAAACGGCGCGCCGGGTCAGTGGGGCTGGGTCTGCGGGGCTGACTCAGCGGGGCCGAGATCAGCTGGCCACGTCAGCGGTGTACGAGGGTCAGCGGCGCACGACGGTCAGCGGTGCACGACGGTCAGCGGCACACGAGGGTCAGCGGTGCACGACGGTCAGCGGCACACGACGGTCAGCGGCACACGACGGTCAGCGGTGCACGAGGGTCAGCGGTGCACGACGGTCAGCGGCACACGACGGTCAGCGGCACACGACGGTCAGCGGTGCACGAGGATCAGCGGTGCACGACGGTCAGCGGCACACGACAATCAGCGGTGCAAGAGGGTCAGCGGTGCACGACGGTCAGCGGTGCACGACGGTCAGCGGAGCACGACGGTCAGCGGTGCACGAGGGTCAGCGGTGCACGACGGTCAGCGGAGCACGACGGTCAGCGGCACACGACGGTCAGCGGTGCACGAGGGTCAGCGGCGCACGACGGTCAGCGGTGCACGAGGGTCAGCGGCGCACGACGGTCAGCCGGGCCGGGCCAGCGGAGCCGGCGGCCGGCGCCCAGCTCACAGAGTCGGCGCGGTCTGGCCGGCCTGAGCACGGCATCCCACCGCCAGCACGGCAGACACAACCACAGACCACAAAACCGCCACCCACCATCGATCTCGACGCCGAGGCGTTTAGGCCGCTGCGGAACACAGCCCACGTCCCCTTCCCCTCCTCGCCGGCCTGCCTGCCACGCGTCCGCCGGCGGCCCAGCCTCACCTGCTGAGCTGGGACGGCGGCACGGCGTCGCGGCCCAGCGGGTGCCACATGACCGTGAAGTACTTGATGATGCGCGCGCTGGGCGGCTGCTCCCAGCGCACGAGCACGGCCGTGGCGTTGCGCGCCTTCACATGCAGCCCGACAGGCGGCTCGAGCATCACCGATATGTTGTAGCCGCTCTGGCGGTGTGGCTCCACCGGCAGTGTCGAGATGGTCTTGATGGACTCGGCGGTGCGCTCGTCGGCCGACACCGTTTTCACGTGCACCTCGTACCAGGTCTTGGGCGCTGCGGCGGCCGGAGGTCGGCTGTTAGAGCGCTGGGCGAAGCGCGGGCGGAGAAGACGCGCGCGCCCGGTCGGGCGTGCCGGCCAATCGATCGATGAATTGGCGATTTCGGGCGCACCGGGCGTGAAGACCGCGCCGGGGCCTTGCACGACGCGCTCCATTATTGCCACATCTTCACCACAGTGTCATTCCGCTGAGCGAGGCCCAGATCAATAAAGACCACATCTGTCACTATCTGCAGCCACGCAACTAATACCTGCACCGAGGTGGCAATGAGCCCCCTGACCACCCCGAGCCCAGTCCCCTGAGCCCCCTGATCACCCTGAGCCCAGTCCCCTGAGCCCCCTGACCACTCCGAGCCCAGTTTCCATCCATAGCGAGACCCGCCAAAACAATTGAGCCAGCTAGGCGCGCAGCGGGAGGCGGTGAACCCGCACCCTCGAGGCGGCGCCGACGCCAGCCGCGACGCCACACCGGCAGCCTGGCCGGCATCCGACGCCGCACGAGGGCTGGAGATGGGCCCAAAGGCCGCCGCCGAGACACGAGCCGGATTGGAGGTCCAGGAGAGGAGCACGGCACGGGAGGACGTGGACCGGCTCGGGCCGCCACACTGGACGGGCCACACAGGCAGCCCCGGGCGGGCGAGACCGAGACATGATAGCTCACAACACGGCGCCGCGTGGCGCGCACTCACCGAGCCCGGTCAGGTAATGCTCGGAGGCGTTGCCTGGCAGGCGGACCTCGTTGCTGAGGTGTGCGTTTTTCTCCAGTCGGCGGTACTGCACGACGAACGCCGCCGGCGGCGGTGAGTGCGGCCCCGACGGCATCTCCCACCAGATCTGCCGCAGGCGGCGACGCCGGTCACGCCCGGACCGCCGCCAGCTCAAATGGGTTCTGATGACCGTTTAAAATGGCCACGACAGTTTGCGGCATCGGTATAATCGCCAGCATCGTCACCGGAAGGTTGTAGCTGACGGCAGGTATGCACTGCGCCCTGCATAGCGACGGAAACGAACAATGATGTCACTATGCTTAGCTGAGATGACTTCGAACAGATCCCCGTAAGAACCTAAAAACACAAATCGAGTCAAAACAGTTTGCTTCACACACAATAGCGAGTTCCATTGTACTTCATGGGCCTTATTTGCTTAGACCCCCAACCAAACGGAGACGAATGGACCCCTGAGGGGTCGATGGGATCCAACGCACGGCCAAGTCCATTCGAGTGTCCTACGGGACACCTGGCCATTTTGAACCGTTTGGTCGGTTCCATGCTTAATGTCTTACCGAAATATAAGGACATCTGAACACAGAGAAGACCAGCGGTCACAGTACTTTAAAATCAAAACATAATGGAGGTCCCAAGACGTCACCAAGTCCTAGTCTGAAGGCTTTACGCACGGATCCTCGACAGATTCGCACTTCCGACACCGGGCGACGTCCGTTCCCGAGTTGAGCCCGTCACCCGCCTCGGCCGCGCAGGCGGTCGTCGCGCCTCACCCGGATGGTGGAGTGGTTGCTGACCACCAGGTGGACGGTGGGCGTCTGCGGGCCGTGACTGACGGACGAGACGAGCGGCATACGCTGCACCACCCACTTGGCGTCGTTGACGCCCTCGCCCGTCACGTTCTGGTAGCCGACGCGCGTGGCGGCCAGCACGCGCACCTCGTACCTCCCGCCCGGCTCCAGACCTGGGGAGCGAATCGGCCGTCAGTCAGACCGCAGCGGCGGAGGCGGCGGGAAGACACGAACCGGGCCGGCGCCGGACCCACGACAGCCACGACAGAAGGCCCGCCGGCTAACTGCGCGCCGCCCACAGGCCGGACGGACAGTCGGCCGGCGGGACGGCCGCGCCCCCGCGCGTCACTCACCCGTCATGAGGAAGGAGCGCCGGTCGCCGGGCACCTCAACCATGGAGGCGGTGTTCCCGTCTTGGTAGCGCTGCGAGATGATGCGGTAGCCGGTCACGACGCCGTTGCTGACCTTGGGCGGCAGCGGCTCCCAAGAGACGTTGAGCGCCGTCGGCGACACCGTCACCAGCGTGACCCGCGGCGTCTGGGATGGCACTGCGGCAAGCGGCGGCGGTCACAGTCAGCGGAACGCTGGCCGGCGGCGCCGCGCAGCGATCCGCCCAATTCCGGCGCACCGCACAGGAGGCGCCCCCGCGCCACACAACATACGTGGCTCCCCAGCCTCCAGGGCTGGGATACGCAGGGCCCGCCACGCGGGAGACCGGGCACGAACGACTGCCGGCGGCGGGTGCTGCCGTCGGCAACAACACGACCACCGCGGCCGCTGGCGTCTGCTACCGGCCGCTGGCACCCCCTCCCGGGCACTCAGAAGAATCAACACCAAATGACGGGCGCGATGGGGCGCGAGCTGACGAGCGGGCGCGAGCTGACGAGCGGGCGGCGGCGGCGGCGGCGGCGGCGGCACGACTAGCCGGCCGCGGGCCGACGTACCGTCCTCGGACGTGACGAAGGTGACCGTCGGGGACGGGTCAGACGCCATGTTGCCCGAGTAGCCGCGGATGTAAACGCTGTAGTTAGTGAACGGCTGCAGGTACTTCAGCTGGAGCGACAGGTTGTTGGACACCTCCTGGCTGTCCATCTCGTCTGCGGCGACGGCGGAGGCCGTCAGCACCGCACATGCCCATGACCCCACCAACGCGGCGAGCGAAGACACATCGCAGCACGCGCAGACTGATCCTAGGGTGGCACATATCCAACACAAAACCCTCAGCCCGTGCGCTGGTGCTAGCCAGCCACCCGGCCAGCCCGTCGCCCAGCGCGCTGCGCAGTCTCACCGGTAGGAGCGCGGTAGTGCAGCGAGAAGCCGACGTATTGGCTGCGGTCGTCGACGCTCCACGAGACGAACGCCGAGCGGCTGGTGATGCCCGTCACGCGCACGTTGGTGGGCGCGTGCACCTGCTCGGACGTGCCCACCGCCATCTCGATGCGCACGCCCGTGGCCGTGTAGCCGGCCCTGTTGTACGCCACACACTGGTAGATGCCGGCGTCCTTGGTCTGCACGTTACTGCCGGGTGCCGGCGGGCGGGGTCAGACAATTGGACACGGCGAGGCCTGCCCGAGACGCCGGAACGTGCTCCGTCGCAGGCGAACGAACAGCGCACGGCGCTGTGGGAGCGCATGCCATTTGTGAGACACCCTGGCCCTTAGGTTCAACTTTAAGCTGCCAGGCTTGAGAACACGTGCATTATGCACCAGCACGTTCTGCGGTTCTCACACGCCAACAACATGCAAGTCGCACTTCAGCGGCCACAGCGTTGCCACCCCAACTCTCAGATGGTCGCGTCCAGGATCTGGCGGCGGGACAGGCACAGCCCCACCACGGCCGGCCTGAGTCAGGCAAGCCTCCCCGGCTTACGTGATGACCAGCTGGCCGTCCTTGGCGCGGACGCGGCCGCCCTCCACGGTGATGCGCTGGCCGTCCTTAAGCCAGGTGACGGTAGGCGGCGGTTGTCCGTCAGCCAGGCACCGGAGCCGGATCAGACGGCCTGGCACCGGCTCCACCAGCGGCGGCAGATTCGACGTCAGCGTCGGCGGCACCAGCACCTCCACCTCCGTCTCCTGTTGGGAACACAGGCACACAGACATGTCAGCAGCGACACACACAGGTCTTCTCCGTGGAAAACACAGGCACGCACAGGTCCGCACAGGTCACACAGGTCTGCCAGCCACCGCCCCGGCCGCTGGCCCGACCGGCCTCACCCGTCACCTCCCTCGCTCCCGACGGCCGCGGTCGCAGCAGCCCGTACCTGCGAGGCGGCGCCGGCGCTGTTGGAGGCGGTGCAGACGTAGGTGTCGGTGTCGGCACGGCGCACGGCCGCCAGGCGCAGACTACCGGCGCGCGTCACAGCCGCCGCCGGCACAGCGCCGCCTGTCGACAAGCACACGGCGGCGTCAGTGCGCGAGCTGGAGGCGGCGGCAGCTGTGGCGAGGCGGCCGCTGCCCGCACGGGCTCGCGACGACTCGGTCACTGACAGCGAGGCGACTCCTGCACCGCGATACGGCAGAAGACGGTTAACGTGTCGTGTCACGTTTCTCGCGGCAGCGTGTGCGATACCGATACGACACAAATGATGCGCCTCCCAATGCCACACCGATGCGCTGTTGGCGCTTTTTTATACCCATATTTAAACGGCGTCGCCGTCTGCTGCGCCGGGTATGTCTTGGCCTAGTCGATCCGGTGGTGGTGCACTACCATCGTCCTGACCAGTGACCCGATCCCAAGACAGCCTGGCTACACATTACGCCTGGACAAGCGCCCACCAGAGCCGGCTCGGGCCCACAGGCTATCTCCGCGTCCGCAGTCTCTCTCCCTCTCCTCGTCTGCAGCGCCTGCCGTCTCGGGCCGCTGCGGTACTGACCGTCGGCTCGTGTCCAGCGCACGGCGGGCGGCGGCTTGCCGTCGGCCACGCATGGCAGCACCAGACTGCCGTTGGCGCTGACGGTGCGTGGGCTGGCCGGCGCGCTCAGCAGCACCGGCGGTCGCGGCGCCTCGCCGGCCGGCGTCACCTGCAGCCAGCCAGAGCCGCTGCGTCGCTGCCGGCCGGCCAGGTCGTTGACGCCCAGGCAACTGCGGAGGAAGGCAGAGGTAAGAGGGCGTGAGCGGGACGGCGCGGCGGCGGCGCGGACCGGGCCGGGCCGGACGCCTGCGCGGAGTCACCACGACGGCCGGGCCCGCCCCGGCACGACCACTCGACCGGACGGCGTCCCTCCGCGACCGAGGCGACGGCGCAGCGCGCGGCATCAGTCCAGTCCGCGCGCGCCGACCGGCAGCCGGGCGTGGCCGCTGCGACGCCCGCTCACCTGTACTGGCCGGCGTCGGCGGCCGTCACGCCGCGGATCACCAGTTGGCCGGGCAGGTCGGCGGCCAGCCGCTGCGAGTCGTTGACGGGCAGCGGCTGGCCGGCGCGCATCCAGATGATGCGCGCCGGAGGCAGTGAGACCAGCGAGCAGCGCAGCAGCGCTGTGCCACCGGCCGCCACCGACACGTTGGCCGGCGAGACGGAGAACTCGCGTTCCGCACCTGGCGGCAGACAGTACGAGTCAGACGCTCTGAGTGAGACGCCGCGAGTGAGGTGCCAACGAGAGATGGCACGAGTCAGACGCCGACGAGAGACGGCACGAGTCAGACGCCGACGAGACGGCACGAGTCAGACGCCGCGTGTGAGACACCGGCGGTCGGAGGCGCCAGCTGGACGTGGCAGGCAGCGTACGGGGCTAAGGGTGTGGATTGTGGCAGCAAGACATAGTGGTGGAACAGGCGACATGACTGGACGTCAGAAGCAACCATGAGATCTACGTGATACAACAAAATTGACAATGCTGCCATAATATGCACAATCCAGTCAAGGCATGTAATAGTACCCCAACGAAGGAGCAGCCCAATGAGACGTGATGGCGAATGGGACCCCCCCCCCCAAAAAAAAAAACACGCCCAAGTCAATTCCACCCTGTGAAACCTCACTAAAACCCAGCCCATGCTGTCTGCACCGAGCATGGGACCCACGCTCGGAGCAAATCCGCCCAGCGGCCGCCGACCGCGCGACACCGACCAGCACGCGACGCGTGCGTGCGCGCCAGCGGTCCTCACCTGCAATGGTGATCTGGGCGGGCCGCGACAGCATGGCGCCGGCGTCCGAGAGCACCTTGCACTGGTACATGCCCTCGCCCCTGCCCCTGCGCTTCACCTTGCTAATAACCAGCGTGCCGTCACTCTGGCGCAGGCGGTTGCGCGAGTTGGTGACCACCGACTTGCCGCCGTACAGCCACTCGATAGTGACGCCGGCCGTGTTGACGGCGCAGGCCAGCTCGGCGCGGCCGCCGTTCTTCACCAGCTGGCTCTGCGGCTCGCGCACGAAGCGCATGACATTGCGGTCGCGCGTCGGCCGCGGCGCGTCCGTCGCCGGCGCCGGCGGCGGGTCATCGTCGGCCAGCAGCGGCGGCGCGTCTGCGGGGCCCCGGCGGAGCTCGTCAGAGTGCGGACGGCGGTGGAGCCGACGGTTGGCGCCGGCGGTGGCCAACGACCAGCCCGTGTCAACGGGCTGGTCGTTGGCCACCGCCAACAACGACGTGCCACTGGCCAACCACCAAGGAACAGGAGCATGAGGAATGCTTTGTAGCAAACATGCACAGAGAGGTGAAACAGATAGTGGGTTTTCAATACTGTTTATCAAACTTGGTTCTTAGGCCTTCAGATGACTATGGTATGCTTTTATACATATATCAACATCCAAGTGCTGTCAGGGCTCTCCTGAGCACCTTCTTGTGAATAATCAACTCTTCTCAAGAGAAATGGGCTAAGTAAGCCTAATCAATAGCACTGGCTAATGCAAGCATAGGCTTTGCAATGATAGTGTTTGAAGTGCTTGACTCCAGGGCACATTGTGCCAATGAGGACAGCCTTTCTAGGTACAAGCCTCTTTATACATTCATCTCTGGATTGAGCATTAGCTGAATTTGCTTCCAAGAGCTTTAAAAAAAAAACACTCTTTCAGGCACAGTTCAGAGCATCTTCAACACAGATACTATCATTAAATATTTCAGCTGGTGATGGCCCAACTGTATTTGGTAATTTTCACATAGAATACCAAAAGTGTCATTCTGCATTCCCATCAGGTAGTAATGACAAAACACCAGCCTATACACTGCACCAAAATACACTGCATGCATGGTAAAAAGGAAGAAAAATCAATCCTGGTTTACACTTCTGCACTAGAACATTTTTCCTTCTGTCAAAATATAACTTTGTTTCTGGCTCTCAATTATCCAGCTCTTGCTTTCTACACAGGAGTACATACCATTGCAGTGAACAGGTGTACTCTGCTACATACCTAATGGCCTTGGAAGGGATGGTGGTCCATCATCACTTGTTAAATGGTTTGACCCTTGCAATGCATCAGAGGTAGATGGAAACCCTAGAAACACATAAGCAAGGGATGTTCGATTGCAGGTTTGCATACATCATTGCACCACAACAGCATGACATGTATCATGGAACAATGCAGATTCCCACATGACACTGAACAATTGGACTTTCTGCATAAACATCCAAACAAAGCACATGAAGTGCCAGTGACACTTCAATGATGGCAGTGTCTATGAGTGGAAGACATCTAACTTTTCCATTTTGTTGCTCCACACAAACTGCCACTTGAGTGGCCCATTATAGAAGATCTAGATTGTATTTGGGCCACACCAAGAATATTCTATACTAAGTGGCTTTATGTGATGGCACTTATAATTTTGGTTGGACATGTTAGAAAAGCAGCACATGTCTTGCAGAGACCAGATGTATGCATTGCTTTTTTCACTAACCTTCAAGTATGCACACAACATATACAATGTACTCATACAAAGCATAAATGATGCCAAATTATTTACCAAAACCAGCAATTTGTTTAATCCAAGATCTGGAATGACGTGCAGCTACTGACAACTGTGGCCATTTTTAAGACTATGGGATACATGACCATATCAGCTCATCCAGGTATCTCAAACAGCTGGGGTACCTGCATTTGGATTCCCTGTGGCAGGGAAGTTTTGAGTCACCTTAACCTCCCACCAGTAGAAAACTAATTCTCTTTACAAATGTATTTTTCTTTTTAAAGATTTCATCAAAACCTTTTAATTGAATTGATTTCTAGAATCAGTGCTCATGATAAACAACGCCTGCTGTGTAAGCCCTGTTAACTACTATCTGATCAGACAATGCCAGTTTAACAGCAGACTTTGGTGTCAAAAGTTGAAAATGCTGTAATGCTCTGCCATCTGCCTGCCTTCTGAAGTCATCTGACCCATACCTTGATCACTGCCACCTGCCCCCTGTCACAAGCCATACCTATCAAGAGCAAAAAACCAGCACCCAAAGCATCTCCAACCCATCCCACCATGATACACTGGCACATGGGGGCACTTGAACCAACTGGACCATTTGGATGGATAATGTGATGAGGTGAACTGTGTTCTTGTGGATGGTGCATGATGAGTGTTGAATAATCACTTGTATGCACTAGAAAATATTGCATATGCATTGACCATACATTATACTGACAACCCAACACAAAAAATGCATGCTACACCACATCCCCAGTAAAGCACTATACAGCAAAAACTTGAACACAAGCGTGCTATACAGCCTGAGTTCAGGTGCTAATTTGGATACATAGGTAAAACCACAATCAGTGAAGAAAGAGCTAATGTTTCAGGGAATATTGCTGCAGGAAAATTTACTAAAAAAAACTCTGAAAGCATTTTTCACAAAAATATTTGACAACTTAGCACAACTTGACCTATTCTGAGCTTGATCCAAGCAAATTCAATGCTAGGCACACAAGTTTCATATAGGCATCCACTGCAGTTGCTGAATTTTATATTGGACAAAAGCTGATGATTGACAGTTGTCACTCATCAGCTGTTGCTTAACTGTAGAGCAGCCATCAATTGTATTAAATATGCTAATATATGCCTGCATCTTGAGAACCACCAGAGGGTCCAGTAAATTTGACTTGCCATGAAGATTAAGTCTGGCTACTCCAATGCTCATAATACAAATTTGGTGGCACCACCATCAAGACAGGTGATTGATGTGAACGTGGCAATGGTAGGTAAATCATTTCACTCAAATGGCATCCGCATATCATTTCTACCACTTAAATGTATTTTTTGAAAACCCTTTACCAACTCTAAGACCCCATCTAAAAAATGCAGCAACCCAAAATGTAAGAAAGGACGCCACTTCCCAACAGGGACACACCCACCTCTGATTCCTATCTTGTGGCCAAATACAGCAAACCCACACTAGAAAACAATGGCTTCAGGCCACATTCAACATCCCGTGTTGATCTTAATTATCAAAACAATCTTCACACAAGGAAATAAACCTTAAGACTGCAACAGGAAATCTTTGTTTATGAAGTTGCAGGCCACGGACAAGACAAATTCATTGCAACTGATACATGCAACTCACTAAAACTGACCAAACTTTCTATCTTTCTTACCAAATGACTGAGCTGTGGTTTGAGAAACTGTGACACCGAGCAACGCACAAAAACAGAGTAAAAAATTGGACGCCATGTAATCGTCCACGCGCACGACTGTCGTCCATTACAGGGCGATGATACGAATTCCGGGAATTGTAATTGACAATTGTAAGGTCAGCACTATCAGAGAACGTACATATTTCGGCTTCGTTTTTTCAGCATACGCACTTCCTCCAGCTCATTTTAGTTTACTTGAGTCTAGAAACAGAACCTGATATGAATATTTAGTAAAATTTTATTTGATCTCAAGATGTACCACAGGACGTCCTTCCAAATACTATTGCCAGCGCCCACTTACCGCACCGACGCGAGTGCAAACCCCTAGGTATAAAACAAAATGTACCGCTGGTTGTGAGCGTATGACTTAAACCTTATTTCATCCTACACCAAAAAGCAGCTACCACCTGATATCGGATGCGGCATTGTCTGTCGATTATACCCCTTCACGCAGATCTGCGTAAGAATTGATTTTTCAATATCTACGCACTTCGTGCTTCCCAATATCGTCACTGGTGGCGCTGTTCCAAATACAATATATATACTTCACTATCAACAAACAAACGCGACGCACGGAGTGTAATGGCGCAGGCGTGAGTAGGGTGTACGTTGCTGCTTTACTTGTCGGTTCCAGGTGCCAGTGTTGTTTGTGGTTGTCTAGGAGCTTCTCTAAAAAAGAAGTAAAATACTCTGCTGTCGCTGTATAAGATGTTCTGAGACTCCTTAGACTGAGCTGCGATCCCTACTATATAAAGGTAGGTGTTAGCAGCAGTGAGCAAAAAGGGTGCCTACCTGCCCTAGCTATCCAGCAGTGGCCGCAGCCGATTTAAATCCTGTCTTCTTGGGTTCAGGTGTGGGACTTTTAGCTTCTGTTTTAGTGTGTGCTGTGATGCAGTTTTAAACAGGCAAATTGACAGATATCCACCACACACCTGAATTTTTGGGAGTGCTAACGTAAATCTAGTGGCCCCTTCTCTCTTCTTGAAGTCTGCTTGAGAGAACGCATCTTGATACAACACAACATATTTCACCAGAATCTTAAGAAAAAAGGCTCTGCCAGAGCAGCCTGGAGCATTTTAACCTATGCCTCATTGAACCTGTTGCAGGATAGGTCTGAAATGTGCACTTGTGGTTAAAAGAAACCCAATTTTTTTGGTCACAGTTGCCTGGAAATTTCTGGAACAGCTCTTCTGTCATCTATTCTGCAAAAAAAGCATGTTTATTGTGCCACTGCTGAAAACTCACATAAGAATGGTGTGCTGAATATTGTTTATCTATGTATTGAACACAGGCCAAGCCAAAATGTGGTAAATTATGAATTTATTTTTGTTTGAGTTATTTTAGTTAGAAGCTTTGCTTAAAACTCCCTTGGTGAAATCCAAAGTCATTAAAATACAGGCTACCATATGCCAATAAATGTGGTGAGTATCTGCCAAACTCCAGATTGTTCAGATTTTGTCAGTGCGCACTGAAATTATATTGTGAGCTAGGCCATATGCTGGGTGTTTGGCTCTGGCATAACATGAACTTTTGAAGTCTGGTATTCTAGTTCTAGGCTTGATTCATACTAGTTGACCAGCCATACATTCTGTTACACATGGAGAGAGGAGTGTTTTGATGGAGTGTAGCCAAAGCATAACAAAGACCAATGGATTGGAGCAGTAAAATGTTATGCTTCAGTGTGGTTACAAAACACTGGTCATTTGTTACATGTTAAAACTGCATTGATAGATGGTGTTGGTTTTATCTCATTACTAGCAATATTTCCAATTTTGTTTTGTACCTTGAATTCAGTTGGGGGCAAAATGGATGTTACCTTTTTGGAATTTTACACCTAATATAACATAACCAGCAGGATGTTTTGTCCAGTGCAGTTGATATGCAAGTGGGGGAAGGTAAAGCAAGAATCAGTGCCTTTGGGAAAATCAGTCACTTAGGAATGTTTACAAGGTTTCCACACTATCTTCCATGATAAGGGTCATTTCCATCCTTGGTACCTATGCCTTTCTAACTATGTGGTGATATCTGTGGTAACTAAGTCTCCCTAGTTCACCTTAGAGTTTGCTGCAGATAAGTGTATGCTGACAGGCTGAGTATTGCAAGGTTGATGATAAATGCCCTTTTATTTTCACTTCTGCTGGAATATAACTTGCCAAGAATGAAACAAGAATGGTGTGAATTGCTTTGGTATTCAGACATGTGTTATAATGCATGTATATACATATCTATATATATTTATTTACTATTATTATGCTATTTATTTTATTATGTGCCCATGGCCATATATATATATATATATATATGTATATATATATATATATATATATATATATATATATATGATGTTATATATTATATACACATATCCATATAAATATTTGTGGGTGTGTGGGTGTCATGTGTAATTCCAATATTGGTGATTGTTTGATTGGATTGGATAGCATTTCTTGCCTTTGAAATTGACTTTATCTGCTATTTTTCATATATATGTATATCCATGTTATGAATGAGATACAAGTTTGTAAGAATAAATGCTCTGCTCTCAACAAAGCTGGCACATATATAGAGTAGCTAAAGTAATGGCACACTAGGAGCTGAAGCTCTGTGAAGAAATATTGATTGGCATGTCAAAAGCCAACCAGGTGCGGCATGTCACCAAGCATTGAGCATACCAACTGAATGCCCTGGATGTGGCCATGTTACCATGCAATACATCCTGGGGTATATCATCAAGGTTTTGCACATAACATCCAGAGTCAGCTGAAGGCCATTGGCCTGGATAAAGAATGTCAAACATGCAACCTTTCCTGGAGCACAGAGGTGTAGTGTGGCATCTAGCTGATAAATATTAGGGGAAGTGTCTGCCACCTGAAATAACCAGGGAAAAATTATAGATTTGCTCTGTGTGTCATGCCACAGACAACCATAGGTACTATAAGAACAGGTTGCTCTGTGCAATGTCCACTATCATTACTGAACTGGATCAAGATGATGGACATGGTCACTCATCTGTGTCAAAACATGGGAAGCAATTCCATGGAGGCTGATAGGTGTGGGGCAGCAGTGAGAGCAAATCCTTAGAAATAGGGTGGCCCTGTGGCCAAACCTAACCCAAACCTTACATTATAGGTTGTGCAACATATTCCTTTGTGATTTACTGATAAGTGCACGCACGCACGCACGCACGCACGCACGCACGCACGCACGCACGCACGCACGCACGCACGCACGCACGCACGCACGCACGCACGCACGCACGCACGCACGCACGCACGCACGCACACACACACACACACACACACACACACACACACACACACACACACACACACACACACACACACACACACACACACACACACACACACACACACACATGGTGATCAGTGTCGTGCATGGGAAAGCTCTGGTGCCGCACCACCACGTGCATGGCGTCTTGGCAACGTCACTGCAGCCGACGACGCCGTGATCGGACGGCCAGCGGCTGAGCCTGTCTGGGCGTAGGAGGAGGGGGACACCTGTGCTTCTCCGGTTCCTGTTCAGGCTCATTGCATCCCTGGCGCGCGTCTTCACAGCGTCTCTGCAGCCGATGCCGCCGTGATCGGGCGGCCAGCGTCTGGGCCTGCCGGGGCATAGGGGAAAGGGACGCCTGTGCCACTCCGGCTCCTTTGTAGGTCCGTTACATGTCTGGCGTGTGTCTTCTCCACACCATTTGCTTATAAGGGACATCGTGCACGTGGTCGGGTGCGCTGTGCACCGCTGCGTCGGGCGGCCGCGTGGCCGGCACCGCGGACCAGCGGGACGCAGGGGAGGGGCCACCCGCGGGTCCAGCCGATGGCCGCCCGGCCACGGCGCCGTCGGCTACGGTGACGCTGTGGAGCCGCGGTGCGTTACTACACATTTACCGTCACTGTGCAGCTGTGTGCTGTCAGCGATGGGTTTTCCTTTAGAGTTTATTCCGAACCTTTTGAGGGGCTGGGTTTGTTAGGGAATATGAAGCTATCTTAAGCAAAGGTTTTTTTGCGTGAGCCCTGATCCCACCATCCCACCAAGCGATTCTGGGTCATCGGCAGACTTGCGCAGCAAATGTTCAACTTGCTGTGTTGCTCCGCTTGGTGTGTTCTGCCCTCTGATGTCACCTGACCTTTAGCACGGCCGCTACCACTGGCCGCAGGCCATCCCAGACAGGGCAAATAGCGAGTGCTGAGCGAATTCGAGTACGATGGTAACATCACTCTTGAGGTCCCAAAATGAAGGATATCCGCTCGACGTAACTTAGGAAAACGAACTTTGCGTGGATATTGTCTCACACCATAGCATTATCAGGCTATCTCAATGTTAAGCCCTCACACATGGGTTCCCATGGTAGCAAACGGTGTCATATCCTAAAACTGGCCAGGCAACACTGCCTTCCCCCGTATGTTTTCACCGTTTTAGGAATTCATAATTCATAACATTTGGCGATTAATCATTTAAGTAAAATTACTTACAACGGGCTTTGCCGTCATAGGCATTATCTTATGTGTTTTAAACACTAGATTACAGGAAGCTGTTTGAACTTATATCCACGAGTTCTTAGATCCTCATCTTTTAAACTGAGTCCACAAGTTCTTTGATCTTCATCCTTTGAAGAAATTCTCGCTGCTCGAATTCATCATGTCAACAAGACCAACCATTTGTTTCATATGTGCGGCCGTCCGTAAATTATGTTGTGTATTGTATGCCATTGTTCAGCTTTCCTTCCGCCTCGTTTGCCTCTGGTTACGCTTGGCAAAAACCCCTACACCCGGCTACGCCGTGAAGCTTTGTTTTGTAGGTTTCAGCGTGACTTGCACCCACACCTGAGGATAACGCTACTTTATCCAGGACTTCCTCTGACCTTTTACGCTTCGGTTACGTTCCATTATTTCACCCTGTCTTAACATGCGTGACGTATTTGGCGGACGGCCCTGTGGTCTGTTGCTAATGTCTACCAATGTTGTAAGGAGTGGAATCATGTTTAAGTAGAAGAGTGAATGATGTTTAGACTGGAGGGCCACACGTGTGCACAAGTTAAAGTCCGCGGAAGCTAATACCTTACGCGAGTTTCACCTTTGCCCCACAACCGAGCCACAAAGCCCCGCTCCAAGGATCTCGAAAGTAAGGAGGCTAGACCCTTGCATAACACTTGAATTCTCATCAAACGGCTTCAGATAGGTATGCTTGACCAATGCTATGGCATATGACAGACCAAATCAGACCAAAGATCTCGAATTAGGAAGGCAGCATAAGCGGATCGGAAGGTTCGGAAGGGAAGCCAGCATAGCCGGATCGGAGGGTTCGGAAAGGAAGGCAGCATAAGCGGATAGGAGGGTTCAGAACCTCATCATCGAAAAGATAGCTGTTCCAGATTTCAAAACACTTGTGTTGTAATCTGTGGGCACTTCATCACGTGATTTAAGCCATTGTCATGATTGTGAGGCTACTCATGTCTACCGGCGTTGTCATAACTCCTCCAAAGGACCTTCCGGGTTAATGCTTATTTTGAGATGTGTTTTGCTGTGGCGTTGAGATGACGTTGTGGCTATGGCTTCCCCTAATAAATCACGGTTATCACTTCCGAGTCATTATGTCTTGAACGCACCGGCTACTGGTCACAATGTCGGATCCCCGTCTGTATGTCACGGCGTGTCTGCGTCCTCCCGAGCCCGGTCGTGACGGGCGCATTGTTCCCATCTGGGCGACCTCGTCCTTCCGCACCGGCACTGGGGGCACCGCCCCCCCCCCCCCCCCGGCGATCTCGCTGGAGCGACTGCCCAGACGAGCAGGGTAAGTCCGGATCCTCTCTAATCAACGGCGCGTCCCGATCCACCCCCGCCAGTGCGGTCCGCGCAGCGGCAGTGACCGCAGCTGGGCGCCGTGCGCGGACACGCCCACGGGGTGGTATGGCGGTACCGCCCACGGGGTGGTGTGGCGGTACCGCACGCGGGAGGGGGCCAGCGCCGTCGGGCCCGGCCGCCGTCCGCTTCCAGTGGCCAGGCGGCGGGGCACGCGGTCAGCCGGCCGCGGCGCGTGATTAGCCGAGTGGCCGGCGCGACCTTGACCGGTTTCGGCGGTGACGGTGGCACGTGTCGCCCGGTGCCCACCGGGCCCGGCCGCGGCACCTGTGGCCGCCCGGAAACGAGCGGCGCCGGCGGGCCGGCGGGCCGGCGCTCGGGCTACGGTCAGCGGCCGGCACGGCGGCGACCGAGCCCTGGCACGTCAAGGAAATACTTGGCACCAAATGGCCCCGTAAAAATGAATGATACGGATCAAAAGGTAAGCAGGGAATTGTGGTGGGGTGACTGCTGGCAATGGCGGTTTGTCGCGCTGCGTGTGGTAAAGCGCTGTTCGCCAAACCGATAATCTGCATGCATGCGTCTGAGGAAAGTGATGACCGCGATGGCGCGAGGACTTATTTGTTTGGTGTGCCGTGTGTTGCCTGACGACTAACCAAGCTGTGCTGCGGGCTCACCCAGCCGACCACTGGGTGCCGGGCAGGGCGGATGTCATCGGCGTCCACCCACGCGCGGCGGTGCGGCTCGCTGAGTAAGAGCGCCCATCGGCTGACCCACATGTCGGCCGGCGTGACGCGTGCGCCTCTGTGCGAGCGGCGGCGGCGGCAGCCGTTGGCGCCTGGCGCTCCTCCTTGTGACGGCGCGCGTCCGCCGACAGGAAGGCCAGGCCGGCCGGAGCAGCGCCGCCGGCCGCCATGCGGCTCCGGCTCGCAGTGCGGTGACCCGACCCGACCCGACCCGACCCCGTCCCGCCCTGCCTCGCCCCGCCCTGTCGCCCGGCCATGGCGCGGCCGGTCCGCAAGTGGGAGCAGTTCCCCGGGCGCAACCGCTTCTTCTGCGACGGCCGCATCATGATGGCGCGCAAGATGGGCATCTTCTACTTCACCGTCACGCTCATCGTCGGCACGACGACGCTGTTCTTCGTGTTCGAGTGAGTACACGCTGAAGGCGACCCGATTACATACGGCTGGGGCCTTGGAGTGGCGCGCAAGGTCGCTCGGTCGGCCCGGCCGGCCGGCGCGTGTGGCCGACTGGTCGGGCGACTGTCAGCGGCTCGATGGCACACGTCAGGACGCGGCTGTTTTCGTCGGTCTCGTGTGGCGCAGCTATTCGGCGAAGTGACTGTAGCGGGCCAATGGATTGCATTTGCATTGCTTGGAATTGGGGCTGGCGTTTGAAGTGTGCATGCATGCGTTGTGCTATTGGATCGCTCTGCTCTGTGGAAAACGCATTCAGCCCCTCTATACTGAACCCCATTGGCTTTGCCCATGTCGTTGTTTACTCGGTCGCTCGTTACGCCGCTGCTCCTGGTGTGCGCCGCGTGGCAACCTTATTATCCCCTCCCCCTCCCCAGACCTATTACTTCGGCCCATTGACAGACCGGAACAGGCATAAACGAGTTGTCCTTTAGCGACGCCGTCGATGGCGTGGCCGGCACCGAGGAGCGGGCCGAATTGTCAGCGGCAGTGTACGTGCGCTGGTGGCGTGACGGTATGGCCGGTCGGGCCCGGGTCCGGGCAGCCGGGCTGACAGCAGTCAGGTGGGACGGGCAGCTGGTAAAGGACAACGGGTGAGGTGGCGCCGCTGCTATAGCGGTCGTCTGGCCGGCCGAGCCTAGGGAATGAATGGTGTGTCCTGATGTCCGGGAAGTAAGGTTACAGACCAGAGGTGACATCATGGGGTGCGTCACACACAGGGTGGAGCTGTCCTTCGCGGCTGCCACGACGAAGTGCGGGCTTACCTCCCGGGCTCCCTCGCAAGTGCGGGCTTACCCCGCTGAAGTGCGGGCTTACCTCCCGGGCTCCCTCGCAACACTTGTGAAGCAGACAACGAGCGGCTTGCGTTTGTAGTCGCACGTTGTTTTCAAGGCATTTCCCAGAGCTAAGTTGGCTTGTAATGTCTGACGTGTATGCAGTGGGACAGCACCAGCAGCGCAACTCCCAGCGGGGAAGGTCTGCACTGAATCTGCGATCGTTAATATGCTGATGTCCGCTGCAGGAGTTCAGCAGTGTTCGCGATCGAGGCTGCGATGGCCATTGTATGGGAATAGCTTTGCCGTACCGGGCGCAGTACGTGAACTGTTGTCGCCGAGGCACGTATATACGCGCCGTTAGCATCGCTCCCAGTGTAAGCACCGGGAGTGCTGCAGTGGGGCTATGGCGAACGGCCAGGGAGTTGGGGTCCACGCCTCCTCGTTTTTGGTCGGGTGCCCAAAACCGGATACAGCTCGGGGGCGTGTGACGGAAGATGATCGCTTAGCCGCCCCTGCGCGGACCTGACAGCGAAAGTAACACTACGCTCAAGTATCTCGGCTCGTGATGTGGTCAAGTTTGAAAGCGAAAGTGACTAGCAATGCTGGAGCAGCGCCATTGCACCGAGTTTAGCGGTGGCGAGTCAGTCGACTGCGGCTCCAGCACTGCCGTCGGCACGGGACTGTGGAGTGGCAGGCCTCACCCACCGAGGCCGGATCTCTCGCCCTGACCTGACCTGACCTGAAGTCTCATCACCGCCGCTGACATGGGCCGCTGTGAGCTGTCTCTGTGCCTCGCCGGGCGGCTCTGTCCGACGGTTGGCCATGCCGCCAGCTGTCTCGCGCTTGGCGCAAGAGGCGGCGGCAGGGACGTGTGTACCGCCCCATCCGGCGCCGGGTGCTGCCGTCCTAATCTCGGCCACCGATAGCGGCCCATTTCCTGTGTGCCGGGAATCTGAGTGGTGCGTCTGTGCTGTGTGACCTCCCGGTATGCCGTCGTCTCGTCTGAGTGGGTTGTGTGTGCTGCGTGACCCCGGGGTGGGCGGCGTGCCTGTGCCTGTGTGACCTCTCCGTGTGTCGCCCTCCCTCCCCCCCCCCCCCCTACCGGCTACCGGCGCGTGGGAGCTGCAGGGCCGCTGTGGTGCGTCCTCCCTGCAGAGCCCCCTGTGGTCTGTCCTTCCTGCAGGGCCTCTCCCTAGTCCGTCCTCCATGCAGGGCGTTTGTCTGGTTCGTCCTTCCCGTAGGGCCTCGCCATTCTGTGATGCGTCCTCCCTGCAGGGCCTCTCTGTGGTCCGTCCCCTCTGTGCCGTTCCGACAAACGTCTCGCCCGCGTGCCGTGTGACGCGTTCGCGGTTGTTGTGTCCGTGACTGTGACGGGCCGTCCCTCCGCTCCGGCAGCTGCCAGTTCCTGGCGCAGCGCATCACGCCCGTCATCCCAGTGGTGGGCGGCGTGCTGTTCGTGTTCGTGATGGCGGCGCTGCTGCGCACCAGTTTTAGCGACCCGGGTGTCATCCCGCGCGCTACGGCCGACGAGGCGGCCGACATCGAGCGTCAGATCGGTCAGTACCCCGACCCCGGCTCATCCCGGGCTCCGGGATAATGGCGCGACGGCACGACCGCGTGGTTCTCCCGACTGGTGTGTGGCGTTACAGATGTAGGCGCGGTGACGGGCGTGGACAGATCTGGCGGTGTCGTCGGATGCCACATCGAGGTACTAATCCGGGTTTCTCGTTGCCTTCTTGGCTCATATTGCATTTTCGTACATGGTATGCATGAGATGCCTGGCGAACCTGGTTCGCTGTTGCCGAGCTCCTCCCAGTAGCCTCTGTGCCGCCTGGGGGGCCGAGCGCCGCTGTTTCTCAGCTCCCCTCAGTAGCCGCTGCGGTGCCTGGCGGGCCGGGCGCTGCTGTCCCTCAACGCCTCCCAGTAGCCGCTGTGCCGCCTGGCGGGCCGGGCGCTGTTGTTGCTGAACCCCTCCCAGAAGCCGGTGAACCGTCTCGTCGTCCGTGTCCATGTCCCTGAGCCCGTCCGTGTATCTGAGTCGCCGGCCATGGCCCAGGGCCGCGTCAGGGCCGCGCAGGAGACAAGTCCTAGATCGATTCCCGACGTAATTCGTGGCCGCCATGATGCCCCTGTAGTCGCTGCGCGCTTGGTACTCGGCTACGGCAGCCGTGCACCGTCTTGGAGCAGAAAGGCTGACGGTGACGCGTGCCCTGCAGTGCCGAGTAACGCGAGCAGCTCGCCGACGTACCGGCCGCCGCCGCGCACGCGGGAGGTCACGGTGCGCGGCCAGCCGGTCAAGCTCAAGTACTGCTTCACCTGCAAGCTGTTCCGGCCGCCGCGTGCCTCGCACTGCAGCATATGCGACAACTGTGTCGGTGGGTGCCGCGTCCTGTCTTGTCTTGAAGGCCTTGTGTTGTGTCGGTGACCCATGGTCTTGCCCAGACGGCTGATATGCGCTGCAAGAGTGGTACACTCGCGTATGTTTGTGGCGCGTACTTTGAGTTTATGTTTCGGAACGAAACAGGTCTTCAATTCGGTTGCAGTCATATCCGTAAAGGCCTTGAGCTGTAGGACCTTTTTCCGTTGTGGATGTGCTGTTTTCCGCATGATTTGTAGGTATACGGGTGGTTGTTATTGGTTTAATGAGGGATGACTCGGCTGGTGTGAGCATTAGTCGCTTAGGATCACTGCTAGATTCTTTAAGGTACTTCCAAGGCTATAATGCTTCTGGCATGTCGTTCTTCGACTATTGTGGTACTCGGCTTGCAAGTCGATATCCGTTGGGTGGATGGTGTGAAAAGACTGGTTACTAGCGCCCCTGCACTGCTACATGTCTGCAAGGACAACATGTGAATCCGATGAAACACACATGGTCTCCGGAAGAATGGGCTGTGTTCTGTTACCACTGCGTGCACTAAACCTGCTTCTTTACTCTTTCAGATCGCTTCGACCATCACTGCCCCTGGGTGGGCAATTGCGTGGGAAAGCGCAACTACAGATACTTCTACATGTTCATCGTATCGCTAGCTTTTCTCTGCGTGTTCATATTCGCCTGCGTAATGACTCATCTTATCCTGTGTAAGTTGAAGGCCAATCGGCCGTTGCCAGGTCCACTCCACCCCGGTTTTCCAGTGGTTCTTGAGTTGACATTTGGTGCTATGCTTCATGCATGGATATGTGAGTTAGGCACGTGAGATGGGGCGCGTTTCATGTTGGCGGTGAGTGCAGGTCTTGTCTTGCATAAATCGTCGCTCCCGACACCGCGTCCAATGCTGCTTTCGTTCTCGTTTCAACCCGGTCTCGTTCGTTCTGGCCGTGACGCAATCACGGACGTCCGCCGTAGAGGTCGCGCGTCATCGCTTGCGTCACTCGACCGCCTCCGTCATTTCAGTAACCAAAGACGACAGGCAGTTTCTGGACGCCATGAAGGAGTCGCCGGCCAGCGTGATCGAGGGCGTGATATGTTTCTTCTCGATCTGGTCCATCCTGGGCCTGTCTGGCTTCCACACGTACCTAGTCTCCTCCAACCAGACCACCAACGAGGACGTGAGTGTGCCGACTCGTGGCGTCGGGGGCGTGCTGCGCCGGTGGTCAGCAGACACTGGCATGGCGTGGGAACAGTGCTGAAATGCGGACCTTGGGTCTGACCGCTGGTTTGGGTCTGAACGCGGGTCCGGAAGCTTGATTTTGCTCAATGGGGCAATGTCAGAAAATCACGCTGCGCGGAAATCAATGTCTTTGATGTTTAGAAGCACTCAAAGTCTAATACCGTGTGAAACAAGAACCGCGGGAGGTTAGGCCTCCTGCCCATATCGGTATTCCGAACACTACACGCCATATCGTTATTCAACATCGTATCGCTTGGAGCAATCAAGCTCATTCAGGCCTGAATATTTATATAAAAAAGCAATGCCACAGCAGAGTGGGCATCTGGTTTTGGACGCCACCCACCTTCGCCGGGGGTGGTTGCGACCAGCCCGTTACCCCGGCGGCCCGCGGCTGGCAGGCGGCCGGGCGGCAGGAGCGCCAGCCGGCGTCGGCGGCGCGTGGTTCTGTGGTGACCGAGTGGGCCGGCGTGCCGCCTGTGGCACCGGTACCTCCGCCATCCGCGTGCGATGCATCGATGCCACGGCCGCGCTCTGGTCGGGCCCGCCCCGGGGCTGGGTGGGGATGCGCCGCCTGCTGCCCGGCCGAGGGGCCTGGCGCTGTGGCGCTTGCCAACGGTAGCTAGCGGAGCGGAGGGCGGCAGTGCGCAGGGCGCGGGCTGGAAATCGATCGGTCGGCTATCATAACTGTATCGGCCATTTGCCGATGTGGGTAACTGCTAAGCTCACTGACGTCTTCGCCTCTGCGTGAAACGGGAGATCGTGAAGGCCCCCCGCGGCAGGAGTTGAATCCATGCCTTTGGTGATATGACCGGCTCCACTAAGCATTAGGCCCCCGCCCCCTCCCAACGAGAAGGAGCGAGACACGAACTTACTACTTCATGAACGCGAACTACTTGCTACTACATACGAACTACTTCATGAACGCGAATAGCGCCTAAGTGCTGTAGCTTTGTTCTTCATGTTGCGGATGGCCTTGGTGGTTTGGGATGCCGGATTATAACTTTTTCGGTTGTTATTTGGCTCCGAGATGTGTAAAAATACGGTGCTAAAGGGTACGGGAAGCTGGCTGCCTGCATGCTTCCTTTCTTGCATCATGCCGTTAAGCTGCTGCCGCTTTCTGTCAACGGGACGGACATGCTCATTGATATCTACGCACACTCCACATATCCTTCCTATGCTTTAGTCAGATGTATCCGATCGTTTACGGGTGACACTGTTTTGTTATTTCAAGTCAAATTAACAAACAGCACCACATGTGAAATGGAGTATTCATAAAGCACAATGATCTCCAACAGACGGCGTGGAGCTATTCTAGAGTCAACTAAGGGTTCTTATCAACTGGGTATATTTAATATAATATATAACATAATCCATGCCTGCAAGCATTTGCGCAAGGTTGTGTCGTATGGAACAGTGATCGATGACATCGCGTGCGATTTATCGTGATTTGCCCCGCACATGGCAGTGACCGTTCTGCCGTCTGTTGTTTGCGCTGCCGATCAGCACGGACCGCTGTTCATTTCACCACTTCCGTGCCGGCTTTGTCGGCCAGGAGGCCGTGAACAGTGGCCGGGTGTGACGTTGCCTCGCACCAGCGCTCAGCGGCAGCACCAGGGCCGTCAGGCGCGCGTCGGGTCACCGTCGCGTCGGCGCCGCTTTGGCCTTCGTGGCCGTCCGTTGACGCGATGCGCTCGTTTTCGTTCCAGATCAAAGGCTCCTTTACTGGGAAGCGCAGCGAGGAAGCCTTCAATCCGTACGGACAGGGGAATGTTGTCTCAAACTGTTTAGACGTCCTCTGTGGACCAACTTATCCTAGTTTAATAGGTGAGGAACGTGTGCTTTATGGCGATGCACATGTCTGTTTTCCACCAGTATGTGGTGCGGCGCGTCACAAAATACTGGCTGAAATGGTGCTCGGGACGTGTCTCGTCAGACCATGTTGTGATTGTTGTCTGTTTTCAGTTCGGCGCCACGCTCCAGTCAATGTCTGACGTTCACTGTAAGCGGGAACGCTGGCAGACGGCGTTCGCTTTGTTTTGAGTTGACCCCGTCTTCGCACCTGCGCCATACCCCGCAAGCTGTAGTTTGCACAAACAGCTACGTCATGCACACAAGCCGCTTAGTTTGGGCTCTGCGGTCACAGCCTTTCCGTTAGCACCATGAACATAGTGTCGGCATGGTCCCGAGTGTCCGCCATCCGTCACACAGCGGACCCCGAGCCCGAACCCGCTGCCCTGTGCAACCAGTGCGGTGACCCTCAGCTCCTAGCAATCTGTTCTCCGTCCATTTGCCGTGGAACGCTCTAGCCTTAGCTGACCACCTGAAACACAAGTGGGTGACCCTCAGCCGGGCACCGTCGCGCCGCTCTCCGGCTAGCCGAGGTCGGCCGACGGGCCGGCGGGCCGCCTGCTCGGGAGACGGGCGTGCCCGGCGGGACAGAGCCGCGCACCGGCACCGGATCGGGGGCGTCTCCGGGGGTGGACGGACCATGCGCCTCCAACCTCCCTGATAGAGACTGTGTCACGCCTCGAATGGAGCCGCGACAGCTCCTCGGCGCACCGCCGGCTGACGGGCGCCGCCCTGCCGCAGACCGGCGCGGTCTGGTGACGGTGGCGGAGCCGGCGGCGGCGGCGCGCGGCGCGGCCGACCAGGCCGACGCCCGGCCTGGCCGCTCGTATGGCGCCGTGCGCAGCGGCCAGCCCAAGGGCGCCCCAGCGAACCAGGTGAGCATGCGGACGGTGGTGCTCCGCTTCGGCTGCGGGCCGGTCCTCGTATGTGCCCGGATCGGCCCGTTTTGTCTGTGGCCGACTCGGTCTTCTTCCGCTGTCTTCGTCCGTCTGTGGGCCGGTCCTCTGCGTTTCCGGACCGGTCCTACGCCCAGTCACCGGGCCGCTTCGTTCCCATCTGTGCATCGGTCCTCTTTTGTTTGGGATCGGAGCTTCGGACCGGGTCTCGTCCGGGCCGTTGTTTTGCTTTGCTCGTGAGCCCTGCGGCGTCCCCGGTGGGTCCCAGGCTCGCGCGCCGCGCTTCGTCGGCCCACTGTCGCGCTGGCTGGGGATGCCACGGCACGTGGTCGTTTGTCTCGTCTCCAGCCTGACCGGGCCTGGCGCTGTGCCGCGTCCCTTGGGGTCGGCCCCGCGTACCGTGCTGAGGAGACCCGGCTACGAGAGCCCTATGCGGAACGTGCCGTCGGCTGTCGCCAGATGTTGCCGTCGCCCAGTCCTCCGGCTACCCGGCGCGCGCCCTGCACGCCCCCCGCCGCCGCCACCTTCGCCCGCGTCAGCTACCATCCGCTGCAGTAGCGCGCCGCCGCCGCCGCCGCCGCATCCTCTCCTGTCGCAGCGCCGGCAGATGCCTGCCGTCCTCGCTGGTGACAACCGTCCGACCCCGGCCTCGACCAACACCTCCCTCTCTCCTGACCACGTCACCGCCTCTGCCCGCACGCCGGCTTGGGGCTGTGACGCGCCGCAGATATGAGGGCTCACGCCTGTGTATGGTGCTGGGAAAATGTCGCGAGGCGCAGTCTTATCGCTCGCACGCCTCCTCGCCGCCACCACCGCAGTCAGGGTGCCCGTGGTCCGTTGTCTGCTCATCGCCGACCGCCCAACGAGTTCACGTCAGTCTGATGTCGTCTTCTGCCAGTACTATCTGTGTTTCCTCCTGATATAACCGCTGAAATCTTCTCTGGAATTGTCCTCCGTTAGTGCCATATATGGCGTCTTCCCGACATCAGCTCTCCGCCCTGGGGTTCTGGCCACACCTCACTGATGTGACCCCTGCGCCGGGCCGGTCTGACCCGGCCGCGCAGGTCGTGCCGCTCCCGGACCGCAAAGAGGTGTACGTGGAGCGGGGGGACTTCTAGCGCGCGCGCGCCGCCGCCGCCGGCCGGCCGGCCGGCATCGCTGCAGGTAGGGGGGCGGCGGCGAGCTGGGCCTGCATGCTGCCCCGGCCACCGTCGAGCCGCGGGGTGCCGCCGCGCTGTCCTGAGCGGCCGCTGCCACGGGCGGCGGGAATGCGTGCACCGTTTGCCGAGGGTGCACACGAGACACGGCGCGCGGCACGGGAGCGTGGCGTGAGAGGAGCGGGTGGAGCTGGCCGGCGCGCGCGGACTGGCGCCGCTTTGGGCTGGAGGTGAGGTGACACGTGGCGCGGCGTCGGGTCGGCCGTGATGAGCGGCATGCGCATGGCTTGGACGCCGCTCCCGCCGGCCCGCTCTCCCACGCTGTCCGGCACTGCTTTTGTAAGTTGGGGCTTTCGTGTGGATGCACCGCGTGACGGCTGGGTGAAACACGACGCACGGCTTGCGGTGTGACGCCTGACAGATTGTAAGGGCCGCTCTCAAAGATCGTGAAATAGATCGGTGCGCATACATCAGTCTCGAAGTTTATATATGTGGCTGACCCGGCCTGGCGGGACGGCTGAAACAAGAAGAGTTGCGGATCGCAGTGGCTCGGTGGGAGTATGACGGATCGCAGTGACCCGGTGCGAGTCTCGCGGATCGCAGTGACTCGGTGGGAGTATCACGGATCGCAGTGACCCGGTCGGAGTCTCGCGGATCGCAGTGACTCGGTGGGAGTCTCGCAGTGTCACATGCCTGTCATAGACAGATTTGTTGCCTCGAGTACAAGTCGATATCTGGACCCGATTGCGTGCTTGCCGAGCTCATGGCGGACAGGCCTATTTATAGGATCGGTGGCAGATAAGCGCCCGCATCGAAGCGCCTGAGCCGCCTCCGCGCTTCAACGGAGCGTGACCGCGCCAGATGAGGGAGGGGGGGGGGGGGCCTGCAGGCTCCCTGCCGCCTCGTGCTGTGTGCCCAGCCGAGATGGGTCCTCCGAGCCGCCAAGCCTGACCCCATTGCGAATGTGCGGGCGCCGTGATTGCCCCCGCTGCCGCACTGATGGGCTGGTTTTCTGCTGTTGGAGCCGCGCCATCAGCTCCGCTACGCTAAGCAGAAGCGACCCAATCCCTGCCCTGCGACTGAACCGGCCTCAATGTCCCCCCCCCCCCCCCCAACAGCCATCACGACCCACGTGACAGCGCGAGGTCCGGGGCGCTCTGACCTCCTCTCCACCGCAGAACGGGCATGCGTCGGTGGCGGCGGGCCCGTCGGCCGGCGGCCAGGGTGCAGCGTCGCCGCAGAAGGCCGCCGGGTCGGCACGCCGCGCCAACAGTGAGTACGGGGGCGCGACGGAGGGCGGGTGGGATCCGAGCGCAGTGGCCGGCGGCGAGCCCGGACGGCCGCGCTGTGCGGGCTCTCTGTGTCGGCAGCGCGCGGTCTGGCAGTGCCGTAGGAGCATACGCGGATGGCCGCTCCACATTGACCTTCAACCCCAGATGACGCGTTGCGCGGAACCGGGTACTGCGTCGCTGTACAGGCGCCTGCTGTGCGCGCTGTTACACTCAGCGATCTGCCTATCTGCCACGCTGCTGTGTTGCGCCACAGGCGCCAGCTGAGGCGCCATTTGCCGGAGAGCTGACGGGACATGTCGTCGCGGCAGGGGGCGCGGAGGCGGCGGCGTCGCCACCGGTCGCCATGGACACGGCCGACCTGGACCTGGACAGCCTGGACGGCTCGGAGACGCTGAGCCATGAGAGCCGCGGACAGACCACCGACAGCGAGGCGCGCAGCAACGTGGCGCTCATCCGGCTCACGAACAGCCTAGTGTGAGCCGGCGGCAGCGGTGGCCGCCGCCGGCCGGCCGGCCGTGAGGCGTGTGCACGCGTGCCGGGAGTGAGCGCCGATCAGTCAGCGGAGCCGCTGGGCCGGATTGCGCGCCCGGCGGGTAGAACGCGGCTGATCGCGGCTTCAGGAGCCGCCAACCCGCGGACGTTTTGTATTGTGTTGTCGTGCCACCAAATCCTGCTGCGGCCAATCGAACTGTTGATATTGACGAGAAGGTACGAATATTTTATAATCGACTATTAATACACACAAAGACTGTGCCCCCGGCGCGTTCCAGCTCGTCAGTGGAGACACGGCGCCGGTCTTCTCACTTTTATTCGTCGTCTCGCGCAGTTGGACAATGCTCACAGTTGGTCGCTCCTAGCAGCACCTATATACACAATGTCCATTCAAAATAACTTCGTGCTAGATAAAACGGAACAAAACGTCTCGGTGCCGCCGCTACAGCCACTCGTCCAAGCACGCCCGACGCAGTATAAATCGAATCAACAAGACAACAAATTTGAGTGCAGTATCAGCGCTTGCGTGGAAAAACCCAAAACGGCGAGTGTACCGACACCGGTAGAAAACCACTTCGAACATCCGCTGCAGCGCGCCTCACCCGCGAAAGCCTTGTATAAAAACGCCTCGCTCGCCAATGCCCTGGTATTGACAGTCTGTATTCAATTAACGGTCAGTCGAATGCTAAGATATCACCGAATTAGCTTCACTAACCTTTGTACTCGAATCCAGACTGTATTCGGCACACTGCTGCTGACCCTGCCCCCGACCAGACACCCCCGCACGCACGCCCGCGCCGCACCCCTCGCTCGGCCGCTCGCGCTCGCTCTCGCTCTCTCTCTCTCGGCCGCGGAAGCCCTACCGGCGCGCGGCGTACGGACTGTGCCGGTACGGGTGGTACAGCTGCGCCTGCACCGGCTGGTTGTAGTTGCCGCCGCGCTGCGGGCCCGGCCCGCCTGGCTGGCCGTAGTTGATGACCTCGCTCATACTGCCCGGGTAGCTGGCGTACCCCTGCATCTGCGGGCCTGCAAACGGTCGGGCGTGAGGGACAGCGCACGACCAGGCGTGAGAGACAGCGCACGGTCGGGCGTGAGAGACAGCGCACGGTCTGGCGTGAGAGACAGCACACGGTCAGGCGTAAGGGACAGTGCACGGTCGGGCGTGAGAGACAGCACACGGTCAGGCGTAAGGGACAGTGCACGGTCGGGCGTGAGAGACAGCACACGGTCAGGCGTAAGGGACAGTGCACGGTCGGGCGTGAGAGACAGCACACGGTCAGGCGTGAGGGACAGCACACGGTCGGGCGTAAGGGACAGTGCACGGTCGGGCGTGAGAGACAGCAAACGGTCAGGCGTGAGGGACAGCGCACAATCGGGCGTGAGGGACAGTACACCGGACCGCAGCATATGGTTGGGACAGCACACCGGACCGCAGCGTATGGTCGGGACAGCACGCGGGACTGCAGCGTACAGCAAAGACTATGATCTCCCTTGAGTTGTAGCTGCATTGATAAGTCTGCTGGAGGTAGCCAACCAGCTTCAGGGGCCCTAGCGCATTCGCCGCATCCAAGAGTGCCTTTGGCAGTGCTGACGGGCCCCAGGCTTCCGCTGGCGGTCTGGATGTTCGGCGCGACATCTTCTGATCGAAATACGGTGTGTTGATGCACACCGATACGTAACGTACTTGGCAAGGGATAGCGCGACTCAGCGGAGAGGGGAGGGGAGGGAGAGAGTTCGCTTCACCACCGCGTGTGCCACGCCGTGGGTTTCAAGCCTGACCTTCGACCGGGAGCTCCCACGCCGCGATCGAAGGGAGACACGAGGACGCTGATTGCCCTCAGATTTTGGGCATCTCGCTCACCCCGACAAGCCATCAGCTAAAGAGCTGCAATCTGTCAAGCAGCTTATGGCAAAAGTGATCTCGTGATCACTTTTGTGGTCGAAATATCACATGTATACATATGCATACATAAGTGATTGCGCATATGTACACATTGATGTGGGTGGACAACAGCCACGTGAGCCCTCTTGGACAAAGGACGCTTTAGGGTGTTGGGCGGGGAGCGCCATAAGAATCCCGTACAAATGGTCACTTCAAACTAACAATACGAGCTATTGGGGAACAATGCAATGCGTTCACAGTCGGGACACTCCTAACATAGGTACGCTTTCCGGCCTGAACGGTGGCACTTTTGCCTATCATATAAATGAGCATGTAAGGGTTTCCCTTTGCGCAAGTCTCCCGCCATCATAGCATAATGTCAGGTCCACAACACGGTCTCACGCACTCCACATTCCCTACCCGCCCCCACATCCGACCTCCCGTGCAGCGCAGGCGTGCGCGCTAGCAATTCCGTCGCGCCGCACTCACCGGGCGCGGCCATCTCCTGGTGCTGCGGCGCCGCCTGCACGGGCCGGGCGCCGGCGTACTCGGGCGCGAAGCCGGCGTTCAGGCCGTACTGCTGCTGCCAGCCGGCGTAGTCGGGCTGCTTTTGCGCGGCCAGCACGGGCGCCGGCGGCATGGGCGGCCCGCCGCCGCCCATCATGCGGCCGTACGGGTCGGGCCCGGGCATGGGCGAGGGTCCGCCCGACGGCGGCATCTGCGGCTGCGGCTGCGGCTGCGGCGTCCAGGGCGCCGGCGCCGCCGTCTGCGGCGGGAACTGCGAGTACTGGTGCGGCGGCGGCTGGCCGTAGGTGGCCCAGCCGCCCTGCGGCGGCGCCCAGCCCGCAGGATAGCCCTGAGGCGGTCCGGCCGCCGGCGGCGCGAACTGCTGCTGCGGGAACGGCTGCTGCTGCTGGCTCCACTGCATCACCGACGGCATACCGCCGGCCGGCATGGGCGCCACGCCGTGTCCGCCCGCCGCCAGCTGCTGCTGCCGCACAGGGGGCACAGGGGTCAGCGGCCGAGGTCAGCGACGGACAGGGCACGATAGAGGTCAGCACCGGAGCCGGCACGACAGAGGTCAGCACCAGACCCGGCACGACAGAGGTCAGCGCTGTATCCGGCGCAGACGACCAGTCTAGCCAGCAGGCTTACATGAGCAATATATTCATAAACATCACCAGGGTGCCACACTGAGAAGGGTGAGTTCGGTCACTACAGGAGTCCACCTGCATTCATTAGTGAGCAGCACACTTTCATGATCTCCTGCCATGCCATGGCTAGCACAGTCATCTCAGGCTAACTGGCATGCCTCAGAGAGCAGGACGCATCATCACCATCACTAAAGCCAGCATAACCCATCACCGGCATGCACGCCACAAAAACATATCAACAGCATGCCGCACGACAGAGGTCAGCACCAGACCCGGCACGACAGAGGTCCGCACAGGACTCAGCACGACAGGGGTCAGCACCCTACCCGGCACGACAGAGGTCAGCACCGTACCAAGTACGACAGAGGCCAGCGACAGAAACATGAATGACTGACATGACATGACAAAATGGCTACACGTTGCGATCAGCATCGGACGTGGGAGCGCAGAAAGCAGCGCAGGACACGAGGTCACGGAAATCGATACCGAAACGAGAATGGCACGTTACACACAAGCACGGTCCAGTACCCATGCTCACCACCAGGTCAACAACATCCCATAACGAGCAGACGACCAGTCTAGCCAGCAGGCTTACATGAGCAATATATTCATAAACATCACCAGGGTGCCACACTGAGAAGGGTGACTTCGGTCACTACAGGAGTCCACCTGCATTCATTAGTGAGCAGCACACTTTCATGATCTCCTGCCATGCCATGGCTAGCACAGTCATCTCAGGCTAACTGGCATGCCTCAGAGAGCAGGACGCATCATCACCATCACTAAAGCCAGCATAACCCATCACCGGCATGCACGCCACCAAAACATATCAACAGCATGCCGCAGGGTGCAGGACCGCCCCTGTCCGCAGGCCGCCACAGAGCCGCACCCACACCGCTCGGCAGGCGGGACCGCCGCTGGGCCTCAGTCTGGCACGCCCCAGTCAGCGGGTCACCAGAGGGTCTCACCGGCATGCCCCAGTGTGCAGCGGGGTCCGCGCGCGGTCTCACCGGCACGCCGGGCATGCCCCAGTGGGCAGGTTCCTGCGGCGGCCGCCAGGTGTCCCCCGGCGTGATCTGCATCGGCTGGCCGTCCTGCTTGTTGGCCTCACGCGGCTCCGCCAGCTTGACCTCCACCTAGCGGCGGCGGCGGCGGCCGGCCGTCAGCGGCGGCGCGCGCCCCCTCCAACGCACACCATGCGCACGCGCAAACACGCCCACAACGGTCATGCAAGCTGCGCCTGGCCGGCTAAGCACACAAACGCCGCCCGCCGGCACTGGCGCCGGCGAGGCCGGGAGACAGAGTGGCGGCGGTGGCGGTGGCGGCGGCGCACGCCGCGCCCAGCGCCGCCTTAAGACTAACGGCTGCAACACTTAACACTAACTTAACTAGACTTAGTCTAGGTCACAAACTTAGTCTATCAGAGCCGTCTGATCAGAGCTGGAGACCAGGCCGTGGCCGTGCGACGGCCAGCCGGGCCACCAACCAACACGTCATCACTGACCGCGAAGCGCCAAGAAGCCTTAATCCAAATACCTGTTTGCCGCATATGTTGACGTAGTGCTTGGACAACACTCTCTCCACGGCATCCTCGTGCTCGAACGACAGAAAACCAAACCCTACGAGGATCGAACGGTGAGTCTGCAACGGTCGCACACTGGGCGGGGAGCGGCGGCCGACCGGCGGCGGAGCGGGGCGCATGCCTTAGCCGTGCGCGGCCGGGCCCGCCTCGTCCGACCCGGCCCGGCCCGCCTCTCTACGCGGGCACGCTGACCGCGGTCACTGCCGGCCGGCGCCCGCACGGCTGCCAGCCCGCCGCTGGTGACCTCACATCTCACATGACCCGGTCAGCGGCGACACACACGGCCGCGGCTTACTCACACAGTCGCAGCGGGGTCCCCGCGTCACATTGGCACGTGACACTTAACTAAGTCGCCTAAGTCTAGCCTTAACGCTATGCCTTATCTTACTCGTAAGCTAGGCGTTGTCTTAGCTAGAAGATGACATGAAATGCCTCAATAAGCGTTATACGTGGCCCTCTATGGCCCTCGAGGTAACGATGAGCCAGAGATGAGTGGAGATGAGTTTCAATAACGGGGAACCGTGCCGAGCCCCATACAAAAGTACTATCTATACATCAACATTCAAACGCCATGTACTACAATCACACGTAATTTTGGGCTGCTTTCCAGCGAAAACACGTCATCTAACGTATTATCAGCATTTGTGTACCGCATTATCCTGTGGTAGGGTGTGGAAAGTAGCGTGGCACAGAACCTCTTCCCACCAACTTAGGTGCTTGTTTTTCCGCCAGCAGTCGACAAAAGACGTTTTGCGACTGGTCCTTACTGAGGCATTTCAGTCAAAGCCACATTAAGGTAATATCATGCTAAATATTTAATGTAAGAGACATCTTAATTTAGTGGAGACAAACCGGTGGTAGTGGGACACAGGCATGCCCCAACCCTCCTTTGTATACTTGAAAACAGTTCAGAAACAAAACTATTTGTACTGCTCTAACATAGCTGCACACTTGGAACAGAGCCTTAACACAACGATTAGTACAAATCCACACCATGCAACAGGCCTGTTACTATTAAGGTGAACACACTGAGGTCATCTAATCCAAATGTCTCAATACAACTACTTATCCCCTCTCGCATCAATGCATGTCAAAATTACACAGCAGAACATCTAGCAAAACCAAACGTGGAACGATTTATGCTTGACCACACACTATAACTTATAAGCAAGTTGGAGGCATTTTTGTAAATAATAAAACCATGAAGCAATACGAAACTACGAAGAATGGCTACAAATTAACACGTCACTGCGTCGGCTAGGAACTATAGCTAGGTTTACAAATGACAACACCAGGTGGGTAATAACCAGTACAGAGGCATTTGAGGACAAGTGCCGAACAGGGGGAGAATCGTATTGAGACGACTCTGACAGGATGAAAGATGGGCTACTTACTCGGGAGAACAGGGCGAGGTTGGACAGAGGTTATTCTGAATGGATGGGATGGGTGACTGGGTTCATATAACCTGGTAATTGCAGTTTGTTGCGTCCACCTTGCTCACGCTACTCAAATTGTGCCGCGCAGTTCGAAGGATAATTTTGCCTCCGCCCTCGCCCCGGTCAGGAGCGCGGAGTGTTTCACGCGCCGAACAATGCTGCTGCCGGCCCGCCCCGGCCCCGGGTCGACTCTCGTCGGCCGGTTGCCAGTCGACATGTCAGCGTCAGTCAGACCAAACAATACGTCTGCTCTCGGACTCCTAGCAACTGCCACCGGCGAGGAGTCTGCCACCTCCCCCCAAACTACGGGGGTGACGGATGTGGACACACGTGTAAGAACTTGCGGTCGCCGTCAGGGGACAAGACGACTGATCACGCACCAATGGGCAAATACGGCAGACGATACCGTGGACAGGTAACAGAGCAAAGAATGCAATAATCCTCTAACAATAAATGGTGTCTGGAAGGTTGTAGCAGGGACAAAGCAGCCTTAACTTTACGCGACACTTGATTTTTTCAACATAGTGTATTTTGAGAGGCCAAGAATCAGTACATACGCATTTCCCTTACATAAGACTGCCAAGGTTATTGCCCCTTTTTGAGCAGACCTTGTCAGTATATTGTGATGGAAATAACTTGGAAAGATGTATTCTCCTGTGATTTCCAGAATATCCGGCCAAATGCGTTGGCAACTGACAATTTCACTTTACACGCCAAGAAAGTTTTATTGCGCTCAATAACACGAAAACAACTATTCTATCCGCGGGGCCAAAACAAATTATGTCCCAGCCCGCGGGCAGCAGAGCTGTAAGCCACCCGGAAGGAGCCACGGGTTAGATTAGGTCAGAACACCGCCGTAATTTTATCACGACAGGTCCCAGGTGACACCGGTCTAGTCAGGAGAGGATAGGGCGCGAGACAGGCGGCCGGACGTACCTCGCGACTTGCGCTTCTCCTGGTCGTACATGATCACCACCTCCATGACATGGCCGAAATGGCCGAAGAAGTTGCGCAGATCCGTCTCGGTCACACTCGGAGGAAGGCCGCCCAGGAAGACCTTCGGGTACGTCTGGCTGCGCATGCGCAGTTTGTTCTGCAGTGAGCGCGGGTTGCATGCCTTCGGATCGATCTGAAACGGCCCGGTAAAACGGCGTTACAAAGCGGATAATCTTCCATTTCCTCCCGCAACGGCAGCAAAGATGGAAAATAACACCGACATGACATGCCACGACAAGTACCTCTGAAACACACCGCGCAGCAGTACACCTGAACAGGCGCAGCTGATCTCCTGGCACAAACACACAGTCCACCAACACTCCGGTGGCACGTCACCCGCCGCGCAGCTCGCCACCACATCTCGCACGTCGCCAGGCGGGTGCCGCCTGCAGCGGCCGCCGCCCGCCGCGGCGCAGGCGGCACTACAGTGGAGCAGGCGCCGCCTTCCTGCGCTCGCTGAGTGGCTGACGCGCGCTCTCTCGCTCTCTCACCGTGCGTCCGTCCAGCTCATGAGGTCCCTCGGCCAGCACGCGCTGCACGTTCTCCGGGTCGGCGAACGTGACAAAGCCGAAGCCGCGCGACCGCCCCGTCTCGTTGTTCTTCATGACGACGCAGTCGACCACCTCGCCCCAGTGGCTGAAGTACGCCAGCATCGTGTCTGCGCACCGGGGCATCGCCGCGCATAAGGTCAGTGGCAGGTCGGCGGCAGGTCAGCGCGCACAGTGAAGGACCGGCTGCGCCCGACCTTCAGGCGCAGTGTGGTGACAGGTCATAGCGAGGTTCATCACACTGGACCAGCCCGATTATGACGGCATCAGGGGCACATGCAGTTGGGCCAGACAGACTTTGCTGTTACCACTGAAAGAAACTGGCCCCAGCTTGGCATAACAAACTTACCCTGAGTTGTCTCCCAACTGAGACCACCAACAAACATCTTTCCTGCCTCTTCATTGTCGTCATTTTTGCCTCTGCAACATAGATTCCAGCTCACTAAATAGTGCACTCCAAAGAAAGTCATCTCACTGTGGCACTACAGAGATGATCCCATGTCAGGTCAATGAGGTGGACATTCCACTAAAAAGCACATAACAAAAATGTTTTTTGCAGCACTTCAGGTGATACCACTTGTGCTTGCGAGAAGTGAGAGATCTCATTGTTGTAGACATGAGCAAAATTCAACAGCTCTTCCACTGCCGCAAAAGTTAATGTGGTAAGGATTGCATGAGTCTAGGCCCAAAACCCTCAAAAAGTATAGTCCTATACAACTTGTTCAACCTACTTTTGACTGCTTGCAGTTCCTACTATCTGACTCTTACAGGAGCACAGCAAGTTATATAGTTTGATATTACCACATTACTAATGATTAGGGCAAGATGCAAGGACTATATCAACTGAATGAGCCATATCCATGTGCAGTGAAGTGGGCCTGACTGGCTTTCTGGAAACCACTGATGTTCTGCCACCACCTCCTGCCTAGGACTATAAAATTATGTACTCCAAGATGGTGAACAAGAACAGACAATGTTTGTGCTCTAAAAACCATGGAAATGCTACAATTTTGATATGCTCCAAGCCTGTCACAAAAAACATGATGCCTTTGTATGCCGTGGCAATGCTACATTTGTTCCTTCCAACTATCCACAATGTGCAAAGTATGTTCTAAAATTTTGCATACTAATCAAATGGAGCAAACCAAATTGCCCAACACAAATGCTGTGATGCCATGACAGAAAATATGTACAGGTGCAGTCCAGGAGTAAGGCAGGGATCTCACCCCCTTCCTAGATATGTTCCTTTTTCATCATAGGTGGTGCATCACAGAAAATTAAAAATCGGCCTGATGCCTTTCCAGAGCTCTGCCTCCTCCTCTTTCATGATTAAAGCTGCTCCTTTGCCCACACTGTTTGTCTCTCCATCCACAAACAATTTATACTCCCAGGCTCCAATGCTGAAGGGCTTCCACCCCGCATCCAGATCACAGAAGCTGATTTTCACTGTCACATCTGCAGGCAGCATCATATCTTGTGATGCTTATGGCCCATGAGCCCCACATACATTCCTAAAATAAGCTCCAAATCATCATGCTGCCATCACTCAGTATCAATACATTCCAGTGCAAAGGAGTAACTCATGCCCTGAAGGGATCTGTTAACTGTGAGCACATTGTAGCCATCAGCAGATGGGCTTGTTCTCAGTTCTGATGATGTCAATTTGACATCTATTAATACAAAACCTACATTAACATATCACAATAATACAGAAGCCCAAATTTGAAAGAAGCAAGATAAGACCTTCACAATGTTGACACAAATTGCAGTTCACAAGGCAGTTTTTCATTCAAAGCCCATTCAACAATCACCACCTTGTGAAAACAGCAAAACTCAACCTTGAGATGATAGAAAAAAGAAGTTGCAGGTAATGCTTGTTTCATGCAGGTGTCAATAATTGCAAATATTGGGGATGGGGGCAAGCTGAAAGCCTAACAACCTGAACTGCACAAATCTATGTTTCACAATAGATTTAGCCCACTTTATTTGATAAAGCAACATGATGCTGCAACCTTCACTTAATTTGTCACATCATCCTTTATTGAAAAGCAGAGTAGCCATGACAGTCTGCAGATTGGTGCCCTGGGACATACTTTATATAATATTTTAATTTTTCATTCTTTCTGTTCTGGCAGAAAGCATCAGGGGGCAAACCAATATTGGGAGCTGGAAACTCATGCCATGGATGGTGACCAGGGCCCTCACAAAAGAACATGAAAACCCCTGGTCAGTGAACAGATTATATGCTAAACATGCATATTTCCAGATTTGGTGGTAACAGATACACTGCAAGTCCCTGTTAATTTCATCTTTACAAACACCAGCTAGCTCCAGGCACACATCTGAACCTCTGCACTTATGACACTGCATGTTAACACAGATAATATTTATATGATTAAAATTTTCATTTCAGCACTATAATCTGAATGTTGTCAAATGATGGGTTATAGCATGTGATTCCTTGGGTATCAAGGGCTTTTATGCATCTATTGATAATTTGGTCCTTCCCAGTCCTCACTCTGTGCATGCTGCCACTTGTCTCTAAAATAGCAAAAACATAGCAGGATGTTGTCACCCAGTACACAGATGCACTGAAACCTCAGGAGTGCACTTAGGCCCTCTTCTAATGTCTTGCTGAAGTGCCACCAAATGATCACACACAAGCCAGCCTAAACCACACATACCACATCTTCCCTCTGGAGTGTACTTGTTACACATGGCCATTGCCAGTTCTCCATATTTCTTTACAGCTCATGGAGCATCACAGAAACAGATAACAGGGACAATTTGGTAGTGCAAGGCATATGGCCTTACAAATTATCATTCGCTGTAAAGAAATGGTACTTACAATCTGTCTAATGCAAAATGGTGACTTGCATCATGCCAAAAAAGTGAGTATCACACCAGTTGTGGTGCATCACTTGTCCGGAAGCCAACTATATTTTTACAGCACAACCAAAAATGTGCATCTGGCCACTAACCCTTGAAAAGAAATTAGGCAATGTTCTATGCAAGGCCCAATAATTTTACAGCAGGCATGAAGCACCAAGCAAGGTGAGGGGATATAAACCAAGAAGCAGATCATAGTTAACCATGCAGGAGGAAGACCAACAGAAACAAGCAGGCCACATGCTAGCAGTTATGGGCTAGTCTGTAAACAACCCATCCACTGTGCCGGACATCTTTATGACATATATGCTCAAACCGGTGTATGTGTACTTTGCTACCTAACACTAGAAAAAATTATTGTACACCATTTGTTGTGTTTAAGGCGGAACATATCATAAATAATCTAAAAACAGGTAGAATCATGCTACCTTCAAACTTTAATAAATACGATAGCGAGCTCCCGCGCGTCTCACACACCACACCACCTCAACTCCCAGGCGCCGTTTCTGCGTTGTTGCGTAATTACAATATTTCTGCTTATCAAGAACCATACAAAATGTACGGGACCAAGGAAACAATAACAATGCAATGAAAATCGTTTCTTATCGCATTTAGATATGTTTATGATACACACAGGCCAGAATAGTCCAGAACATAGCCTAAACTAGCCTAACCTGACCTGACCTGACCTGACCTGACCTGACCTGACCTAACCTAACCTAACCTATCCTAACCTATCCTAACCTAACCTAACCTAACCTAACCTAACCTAACCTAACCTAACCTAACCTAACCTAACCTAACCTAACCTAACCTAACCTAACCTAACCTAACCTAACCTAACCTAACCCCACCCTATATCCCCTTTAACCCAGTATCCCATTGTCCATGTTCCATGCCATATATAGGTACCATATAGTGAGCTTTTATTTAGCTGCCATGTTTTGCTTTACATTCCCCACCCAATCCCCCCTGCAACCCATCGTCCCACTGGCGTCAAGAATCAAATTTCATGGATTCTTGCTACCTTGGCCCCATACATTTTTATGGTTCTTGATGCTGTTTGATGCGCATTAATGTTGTGACTGCACGCAGTAATGGCGCTGGTGTTGCGGCTGCTGTGTTTGCGGTGGTCGGATATTCAGTATCGTAATTAGTCAAGTTCCAAGGTAAGAGTATAGATGGCCTGTTTTACTATTAATTATGATATGATCTGCCTTAAAAACAATGAATGATGTACAATGGACTTTTGCAACATGAGGTAGGAAAGTACACCCTGACCCTCAAACCTCTTACTTGCTTATGCCAAACAAAGGCCAAGCCAAAGTGCACTTAAGTTTTGAATTGTCAAGAATACTTAAGAAGTATTATTGACCGAGAATACCATTGAAACATCCCAAATCCCAGAAACACATGATCCCTGCACATACAAATTGGTTGTAACCATACACTGAACTCCAAACACCACAGTAATGACATTTTCAACCTAACACATGCATTTTTCAAGCCCTGATTATAGCTATTCATATAATAAATAAACAATGACAATAATAAATGTAAAGCTGACACATGATATACAATAAATGTAAAGCTAACAACTGTCTGCTTACATTATGTAACTCCTATTACAAGTAAATAAGTCAGCAAGAAAAAATGCCCCACAAAAAATTTAGAAGTGGTCTACTGAATAAAAAGCTATCTTTGAAAGTATTGTAACAATTCAAGGTAAATGTATTCATGTGCACATGCAGTCCTTCTGGCCCACCTTGCGGAGTGTACACATATGGAGATTGAGGCAGATAGCTGTGGCATTGCTTTCACTGTTCCGTGTGCAAAAACATAATTTTTATGGTAAGTCCCAGATGCTTGACCTGACACTTTCAGCTTTTTTGACTTCCTCTTCCATCCAAAAAGGAATGCTGCATGATAATAGAATGTTGCAGAGCAGCATTACAAACTTATGTAGCATAACACATGTGACATAGCAAACAATTGCACCTTATACTTTTCCAGTTCTCAGAAATCTTTGTAATTGTGGTGGGTGCCGAAAAGTACAGCACAGAAATAGTACATCTTAATGACTCTTCACAGAAGACAACTTTCCTTAGTAAGGCAACTTTCTTTAAGACAACGTCGCAATAATAGTAATATTCTGAATAACAACTGAATCTTACCTTCTCATCATTTTAGGCCTCATCTTGCCTAGCGTACAATATATACCAATAGGTAGATTTCCAAACGGAGAAATCACGATTCCAGCGCAGCAGCTACGCTGGCAGCCATTCACGGAGCGAGGCAGGCACGGGGAGACGGCATAGAATAGCTAACAGCGCCGCGCAACTGCAAGCCCTCAATCTGAAATTGGTTTGCGGTACTATCACAATAGAATATCAACAAATAACTCGTCAATGTTAACGACGCGACCACCCATCCGCGCCCAAGACGCCAGCACTTTCAACAATTGCCAAGGATGCGTATCTGGGCAGGAGGCCAGTCTCGTTTAGTTCTGTCTTCCGATACTACTTATAATGACGTCAGTATAAATCTGTTTTAACCTTACCTCATGGTGATCGGGAATTGTAAAAGGCCACTAGGCCTGTCGGTCCCGGTCTCGTCAGGCTCCCGGTCCGGTAACCAAACAGTCTCAAATTATGGGAAGATTCATTGTGAGACGTCGTACATGATGTCAGCCCAGTGCGTATCAAGCCTAGACTTGAACTGTTCAGCTGAGGTCGATGACACCACCGGGTGTGGAAGAGCTTTCCAGTCGTTGACAACCCGCGTGCTGAATGGGTTCCGACGGACGAGAGTCCTAGCTCGAGGTTTTCTGAGCTTCCATTGGTGTCCTCTCGTCACCTCCGAGTTGTGCCTTGTCAAGAACTCCTCTTCCGACAGTGACATACCTCCGTGAAACAGCTGGTACACTGCTACCATGTCTCCCCTACGACGACGATAGTACAGCGAGGGCAACTGAAGGAGTCTGAGCCTCTCAGGGTATGGCTGGTGCCTCACTTCATAGACAAGCCGGGTAGCTCGTCGCTGAACCCGTTCTAGCTGTTTCTGATCCAGTTTGCCGAACGGGCCCCAGATAACGTTGCCATACTCGGATAAGTACGGACGTACTAAGATCTTAAAAAGCAATGGCAACTTGCGAGCATCGACATTGCCAAAAGACCGCCTCACGACCGCCAGCATCTGGTTGGCCTCAGAGATCGCTTCCGCCGTCTGCACGTGTAACTGGAGCCGGCAATCCACGAAGATCCCGAGGTTCTTCTCGGTGGACTCGACTGCGATTTCGGCGCCGTCTTAGAAGTACGTCAGCCTCGGGTTGCAGTTCCCAATGTGCATTATTTTGCACTTTGCTGCACTAAAGGGGAGCAGCCGCTCCTTTGACCACTTGGCCAGGGCATCGAGGTCGGCCTGCAGAGGTGAGTTAGTCAGGGGCCTCGGGACACGACAGCAGACCTTGGTGTCATCCGCAAACATCTTGACCACGCTTCTCACTTGTTCTGGCAGATCGTTCACGAAAATTATGGACAGCGTTGGTCCAATTACTGACGCTGACGATGTTGGTCCAGTCCGACTTCGAGCCCTGGACCCGCACTCACTCAGCGGCTCCCTATTAACCAGTTAACGAAAATCAAATTGTACACTTTTTAATGGAATGACTCCCAGCCAAAATGAGGATTTTGCTACTGATTTGAGTATTGCCACCAATAAAAACGTTTTCAACACCGTTTTAACGAAGTCGTGAACCGTGATGCCTGCTTTAGTCATCAAATACAAAAAAGTATTGTTCAGAAAGAACAGTATCAACTAGATTAGTGGAGTTCGCAGCAAACGGTGGAAACGAATAGCCAGGATATAGCAAGAAGTCAAGGATTTATACCGGAATCCCTTTATCCAAAGCTAAACGCATTGTAGATACGCGTAGAGTACCCAAATTCATGTCAAGGAGACTCACATGACTTAGCTAGTGAGTAATAAATCGGGCTCGGAAGACCCTTTGCTACACCAAGAGTCTCGATTTCTGAATCATAATGCCACCTTTATGAATGAGGCCATCAATGCTCTGGATCATGAGGCCCAGCGTCGTGTCAAAGAAGCGCCTGTTTTGGGTTAAAGGGCACCCTTTGTATTTGGGAAGCTGATTTTAGGAACAGGAAGCCTCTTTCATGTATCATATAGCCGTAGTTCCGGATTAGGATGCCCTGTTTTTGGATAACGAGGCCCATTGGCTAGATTTGGAGGCTGTCTCGTTAATCGAAAACATTCTGTTCTTAATAAAGAAGCCCCTCTTTACATTTGCATGCCCTGTTCTAGAAAAATAGGCCCTGTTTTAGATAAGTGAGACCCTATGCTGGCTAACAAGAAAACCCCCATTATCCACTTTTTAAGTGTCGACGTTCCTTTGCTCGGATCTGATACCTGTGACATTTTGAGAAGGGGGCATATGCCTTTGGTTCCCCTTCTTGTCAAATACGACACTGAGCAGGAGGCTCCCCTGTGAGGAGGCCATATTTTATCTAGAAGGCCCCTTAGAAACTCTGTGGAAAGTCCCGCCCCCCCCCCTCCCACCCCCCATCCCCGCTCAAAATCCGAGGCGCCGCCCTGATCAGAGGTTCCGTTACGTTTCATGGGACTCAATCAGTGGTATTGTTCAGGATTGTAAGGTGGCCAAAGGAGCACGAAAATTAGAGGAATTTCTGAACTTAGTCTCTGAAATGAGACTGGTGCCTGAAGATACCATGGAGAACGGGGATGGCCCTGGAAATAGGAAAAGGGTAGGCTCTGGAAAATACCGTCACTCTATGTGTCCTATACCACACATGTATGGTAAAAACTTGCAAATGTTTAGTCATGACACCCTAAAATAACACGAACAGTTGTTTGGTTGCTATAGTAGTACAACACAGCTTAACACGACACCGCAGGGTTCCTCAGACATATAGCACTCGATTATACATTGAGACACACTCATAATGGACCAAAAGTACAAACAGACAGACAGACAAGGTCTGCAAACCTACCTGTAGCGCGTTCCATCAGTCAGTCCAGAAACTTCCGTGTCAGCCAGAGCCTCACGATTGGTCCGTGGCAATATAAGGGAGTCGTGTTGCCGTGTTGCCAACACGGTCCATGAGCCTTAACGATGGCGGTAGGATCCCAAATGGTCAACGGGAGCAGAGAGAAAAAAGGGGGAGATAAGGGAAGAGCTCAGGACCAGCGACTTATAACAAATGACCATGAAATCACTGACGGCTAGAGCCGCTGAAATGCATAACGCCCTGAAACAATTAAGACGATCAGAAGGCGGTCCGCAACACCCAGGGAAGATAATGAAGTAGGCCGGTAGGGATCAAGGTGCGATAACGCACCTGACTGACGGCGCTGTGCTTTGGAAAAGCTGTTAGTGGGCTGAGGGGAATATCTGGTGAAAGGAATAGGAACGTTGAAAAAGCGGGAGCCAGGCTCAGGGTTTTTTTAAGGAAATTTCACTGGGAGGCAATCCCAGTGACCGTAGGGAGGGGGTGGGCAGCATTCAATCCGGTGGTCGATCATTGGGGTATATATTACCCACATATTTCTATTTATTCTTTGTCCCACGGTTGTGTCCGGGTGGCTCAGAATCTCCAATCCACCATGCGATAAACAATTGGGGTTGGGTTCCTGAGGCGGCTCATTGTTTGACCTGCCAGATGTCAGTTGGCGGGAGAAGAAAGGCTCCACAGTTACGAGCCATGACCGTCACAACGTATTCGGTGACGCGTAAAAGATCCCCCGGACGGTCACAAGTGAAATTTTGTGGCGAAATGCATAAGGTGCTAGTCTCAAGGCCAGTTGAGCTAAACCATGAAAGAGAAGGCTAACGCTTGTTATTTAAACACCGACACTTACTTTGTGGCTCAACACAAGCATTGCTCAATAATGAAAGACAAACCTTCTCCCAAACTTTGCTGGTATGGGACCTACAAACTTCACCGTTTGTGTCCGTCTACTTGTTGACACAAGGTGCCGAATCTAGACATCTAGATAAAGACAGAACGCGCGCTGTGTGGCACTTCCCGTGTATAGTGCTACACTGTCTTTCCCCTGCACGACCTGGTGAGCCCCTGAAACCAGCGTTCAGAAATGCCTCCAGCAAACTCAAGGCTTTCTGATCGTTGCCGTTAGCAGCAGTAGCTGACAGCACATACTTGAATGTGCCAACACCCTCCTGAAGACTTATTCCAAATAAATTGTACGTTTTGAACCAATTGGTTACCGTATGGTTGACGTATGACGAGTTAGTGTGATTTTGTCATGTAATGCGAAAGCACATTGAACATTGCTGACTCGGTTATTGACTTGGTTAATATCAGATCTATCTCGGCTTAGTCAGGCACTTTCCGAAACGCATAATGACCTACTAACGTTCCATAACATGCCTGAAAAGGATGCATCGGTCAGGCAAATAGCGCAACAATTGTTACCTACGGAAAACGCCCGTAAACCCCTGGCATTTCAGAGTACCTAAAAGTTTCAATCAGAAAAGCGCACTAGCGGAAAAAAGCCGTTGCATAAAACACCGTCAGTATAAAAGTCTTGTTTTAAGAGCGTTGTTATAAAAGCGCTTTGCAAAAGCCTTGTTTTTGCCTCCCATGCTATAGCTCCAACCGCCTATCCATCTTGAACTCCATGAACATATGCTGAGGTATGGGCTTAGGAACAGTTAGGCCAGGGGACTTTGGCAGCCTTATTTTTCAGGTTCGATGGGGTGGGGGCCGTGCGTGCCAAATTACCCAATTTAACAGCTATGAAACCGCGCAGGACAAAACTGCCGTTTGGTGTATATAGCTGCATAGTACGAAACTATGTACGGAGAATGGGAATATTTTGGGAAAACTCCAGGCTAGTGTAGTACCAAAACGTTAACGATGTACAGAGCATGATCGGTGACAAAAATGAACACTTTTGAGAACTATTTGGTGACAAAATGTGAAATTGGAAACAAATTACAGCAGACCGCCCCTGGGCTCAGCTCATACTTGACTTACCGACCCGAGTTCCGCCACTGAGATGACGTCACAGAAACACGCCAATGCAGAGCACCTTTATTTAAAATATGGGCACAACTGGGATCAGCTGATCCAACCCCATGGAGACATATAGCGCGCAGGAATGACCCCTTTGCATTTTGTTCGAATAACAGCTATCGGTAAGTGACCTGTAGCCACAAGGGATCTGATTGCGCATGTCGTAAAAAGCCAGAACGGTACAGGGTATGTGCCAGTCGAAAGTCGAACTTATCACCATGAGACCATGCTGGAGATTCATTGGGGCTGCAACATTGGCGTCGTGTACTAGGCCGTGGACGGCGGCCAGAATCGGACGTATTGAAACGTCCCGAGTTCATAACGTCTAGTGGCCAAAGTTTCGAATCGCAGCATCCAGCGTTCATAAGGC